ATCAAACTGTATCATAAATCCAGAAGTATAAATGTACTGGTGAAAACAAAATGTACATACATATATATTTTTTGTTGGTAGACTCTATGATTTTTCTGAGTTTATAATTTGTGCCAAATGTAATCTATAGATTATTGCAAAGTAGCGCCAACTCGAAACGATCTATGGTCTGATAAGTTGCGAAGAAGGCGAAGAAGTTGAAGAGGCCGACGTGTCGCCGAAATCGGAGAGGCCAAACGGATCAAGTGATTTCCAATCATCTCGCCGTGAAATGATGCCAACAAAAACATACGGAAACCAAAAGGGTGTGCAAGCACATATTGAATTTAGAGTTTACAAGTTTTGCAGAGTTTTTGGGTTTCAAGATGAGAGAAGAAGTTTTTGAATCCAAGCCCTTGAATGTTGGGTTCTGGATGTCAGTCAGGGCTTCGATTCAAGAACTTTTCCCCAGAATCTTGAATCTTGAATCCCAAAAAACTTTGGAAAGTCTGCAAAGTTTGCTGAAACCACCTGAAATGCAAAGCTTGAATAAAGAAGTTGATAGAACCAAAATATATGAAACGAAATGTGACAGTTTCTTTAAAGCTGTTCATTGGCAAAAACCATTGAGAAATATGTTTCATATACAACTGACATCAGTTGTTCTAAGTATAACATTGCCTTTCCAAAAACACCTGTAAAAATGAATCTAATGAAGATGAGGAAACTAGAAAGCCTGAAATATGAATATAAAAGGGGAAAGGCTAACCTGCAGAGAATACTGACAATAAATTATAGGGAGTGGCTGTGGACGGCTATCAGTTGAGCTAGGGTTTTAAGTAGAGTTAAGTTGTTTAAATACAGAGATGATACTGAAGGTGAATTTAATAAACAATGTACCATACGCTTCTTTAATAGGGAGGTTGAACAATGTTTCTATACAGGATCAAATAACGTAATTACCAATGAGCGAGCAAATGACGTACATTTTGAATTTTGGCTTTGCCGCCATTTGAAGCCACTTGCTCAGGCAGCCACTTGGCAGCCACTTGCAGCCACATGTCACTCAAGCAAGTAAACGTCAACACGTGCACTTGGAGTTCTTTATGTAAAAACTGCAAGAGTTCTTCGTCGAAAAGTCTTGGATTATTTCATGATTTCTCCGCGCACAGCTCTGGAGAAAACCGGAATTTCTTCGCAGAACAGCATTGCAGAAATCTTGGTTTTCTCCGGAGCTGCGTGCGGAGAAATCATGATATACTTTCGAAGTGGCTGAGTCCCACTAACAGTGAGCACAATCGATGAGCACAAAAGCAGCACCACAGGGGATGGGTGAAGTGAGGTATGATTCTGATCATGGTGAGATCTAAACTTTTCAATCTGGGTCAACCCCAGCAATTCATTGACCAAAATGTCCCAAAACCAAGAGCCATTTCCAGCAATTCGCTGGTGCTCGTTTTCATGAACACACTTAATAAAAATCCCTTGTTGAACTGTTACTGGGACTCAGCCCCATCTAAGATATACTCCGGACAGAAGTAGCAGTCACTTGCAGCCACTTGGCAGCCACTTGCAGCCAGTTGTTTGGGCAGCCACTTGCAGCCACTTGCAAGTGGCTGCAGTGGCTGCAAAATGGAAACTCAAAATGCGCACCTCCTGCAAGCTCAAAAGTAATTACTGTGAAAGTGGATTTACAATAGATATTCAATAGAGTAGTGTATCAATTGCATTGCGGCCTCCAAGTTAAATGATGGTAGAATGTCCTAAGAAAACAAACAGGGTCAAAAACAAAATAGACCCAAAAGATCAAAGAAAAACAAACAGGGATCAACAACAAAACAAAAACCGCGATGTTGCAATAAAAACAAGGCACAAACGAGGATCAATATAAAGACAAACAAGGATCTGGCGGACGGGTGGCACCTGCATCCACTAGGGTGGGGTAGTGGTTGGTTGGAGTCCAACCTAGTATGTTTAAAATAATATTTACAAACTATATGTTTATTGTGCAAAAAATACTTTAAAAGTATGTAAAGAAATAGTTTGTATATATATACTAACAAATGGATACTAAACACTATTGCAAAGGATGTCAGAATAACATAACATTATAGAGATTTACTGAAGGGCTCAAAACCTGCGACAGTTGTAGGGCCAAACAATCTGGATGATATTACAATAATACAGAATACTAAGGAATCAAAGAGCAAAAGCAAAGGCATCAGGAAAAGAAAATATTACTGCCCATTAGGTGACTCTGATGTCCAGTAGTGTACAAAAACCCAAACACGAAAAGGGAACCTTTCATCAACAGAATGTCAGAAAACAAACTCATCCAGATGAAGAGTTTGAAAATGAAGATGAACCAAGCAGCAAATATTTGGACAAAGAGGGACGCAAATGTTATACTGTATTGCTTGTAAATGTCCTCAAATCTGGCCTTATCAATGGAGACCACACATAAGGACTGAAACACATAAACACAACAACCCAGGTAAATTACCTTTTAGGATTTATCTATTGTTCAGGATGTATCTTCACAATATGCCTTCCAAGTCCAAAAAGGTAGGCCTCAAAAGGGGTAATATATTATATACATACCACGAAATACGCATTTCCTGAATACTACATCGATCACGGAATCTACATGTCTCAATTCATATGGAATGTTAGATGTTCTTACTCCAAAATGAAATCAAGAAGATACCCAGAAAACCTGCTGGTCATCCAGGTGATACTCAGGTATTCTCTCAGGTGACTTGTTGACGTTTCTGTCTCTAGTTCTGGTGGTCTTCCTTGACCCCATCCCAAAAAAGGCAAAAAAAAATAACACACACCCACACACATCCTTCCTGAAGTCGCTCCCAGAAGAACCGTTGCTTTCCCTCACCGTCTGGAAAGCACAAACCATCCCGCCAAAGCACGCCATGGACTCCGGTGTCGAGTTCACCGAACGGTTGGACTCAGTGGAGCGCCAAGGGGACGGGACCCAGGCGACGGTTGGACTCAGCAGCCTTTTGGCCTTTTTCTGGCGCCCGTAGCCTTCAAGACAGTGACAAGAGCAAAATGCACGGAAAAAGAAGAAATGTCTTGAAGGATGTCACGTCTGAGAAATGTCACGTCTGAAATACATCACCCAAGAAATGTGTTTCACCATACATCACCCAAGAAATGTCACCTCTGATTCCACGCCACGCCCCGTCCGTTTTTCAACAGATGCGACGTTGGTGGGTTCGGAAAAACCTGTCGGGTTCTCTGGCAACGGAACACAGCTGGAACCTGCTTTCAGGAGTAGTGAGTCATGTGGACGGTTGACGGGTTGATGGAAAAAAAATACCTTTTTGTGAAGATTCAAAACTATTCTGGCAGGGGGAGGTGATTCATCAACAGTGTCTCGTATTCCCTCTAGACCAGTTCGACTGTTTTGGGGAACCAAAAGTAAAGGAACTTCCTAGACTCGAGTCACCGACCGTCAGACCCTTTCGAAGAATTCTTGGAATCCCAAGGAGTCGCCAGGCGTGATCTCCCGCCGAGCGGCATTCCGCCGGGGCAGGCGCCGTGAAACGCTCCTCGGGACAGGCGAACCGTGGAGCGTTGACCATGAGGTCCCGGTGATGACGAACGGCAACGTCGGGTGAAACAATGGCTGTTGTGCATCCCATTCTATATAGATGTGTGTACCAAGACCTTCCAACGGGTGATTTTTAGGACACCCCTGAACCTCTAAGAGGCTATTCATAGACACCACATGACACCACTGGCAGGGTCCTGGTGTGTATTATAGAGAGAGAGAGAAAAAAAATGAAAAAAGAAATCTCAACGTCAATCCAAGCCTGGTCTCGAACTTGGCCCGTGTCACGCCCCTCACGGACCCTTCCACAGTGCGGATGGGGGGTAGGCCCAGAGGCCCAGAGGGTTTTGCAACACGATGTAACATGTCATGGCGTACGGAACAATATACAGAACAATACCCCATGACTGGTGTGTCTCTTCCCACAGACTCTCCCCATGGGCTCTTTGCTGAAATGGACTCTAGATTCCTTCGTCCGCAGGGTCCCAAGTGGGCAAGAGCGAAGGGAGGGCGGAGGTTGGGCGTTGGAATTGGATGAACACGTTCAAAACCCCGTGAAACCCTGTGTAATGTATGCTTTCTTGACAACCCTAAGTACTTACGTGCCTTCTTGCTGTGCAGACCTCACTAATCCTTTCAGATATTCAACTTCCCTTGGACTCCCCCAGAGTGGTTGTTCCCTCAAAAGCATCCAATAGCTATGACCTCCCAAGGAAAGATAGGTCCAACTATGTCAAACTTGTGTTGTTCTCATGTTCTGCCACATCTCTAAGAGACTTTCCATCATCTCCCAAATATACACCCGCGCACCACCTCCGCCACGCCCCAAACACCACCTCCCGGCACGCGCTCGGCCCACCCCGCGTGGACAGACACACGGAACTCATGGGAACTCGGCACTCTGAGGGACCCCAGCGCCACACTGTGTCGGATGTCCTATCCAGGCTGCAGAGCGGAGCGGAGCGGAACGGCGATGGCGCCGCGGCGGGACGGAGCGGCGCGGAACGGTGATGCCGCGTCGCGCGCGAACCGCGCGTTCGCGCGCGTCGTCCGAGGGACTCCCTGCGAGAGGTCGCTGCTGTGACCTCTGTAAAGTAGAACTTCACAATGAGGGATGGTCGAATCAAGTTCATGTCCCAGGCTGGCATTTTTGTGCGAGTTCCACAGAAGATGTTGTGAGTTTCCTGATGTTTATCCCCAGAACTGCACTGCTTTCACTTGACGAAGCGCTCCCAAAATCGTCCACCAGGAATTTTGGGCGACGGCTCGTCCGCTCGAAACATGGTAAACCTGCGGGTCGTCGGGAAAAAGCGTGGGGGGGGGGGCGTGTGGTCTGACTGAGGGCCATCATCGCCCATGCCCATATGCCCAAAGGGGGATTGTGATGTCCAAAGCACCAAATATTTACAGAATTTGTGTATAGATATGTGTTTGGGGGTCATTTATTGGTTCAATCCGTCAATCTCCTGGCCTCTTCCGCTTCCTTCTGGACCTCTTGCTCATCATCCACAGGCTGGCGCAGGCAAAGATGGAGAAGAAATCAGCAATGTGGAAGCTAGTTTTGGAAGCCCAAGACACTGTGCCCTGTGGTGTAAGCCAGGCACTGCATTTGCATGTCCCATGGTCCATGGTATTGCATGAGAATGATTAATGATTCCTCTTCAATAGTAAAACGATCTTCCACCTGGCGGCTTCCACTCGAGCAAGCTTGCAGGCAAAAACCCACCAACCAACCCCCGGACCAGCACCTCAACCAGCTTCAAGGTTATTTCCTTCCGAGGTCGGCCAATCAACCCACTCCCTTTCCAGATCGCCTGCAGCCAGGCCTCCTGTCGCGTGGCCACACGTCGGGGAGGTCGGAGGCGGGAGGTCATCCGGCCGGGAGTGCCACGGTTGGTCACATCTGCTGCAAACTGGTCCAACTTAGACCCGTGTCCTCACGCCTCTTTCACTTCTTTTGGGCAGTTTGAACCTGCTTTGACTTCTTTTCCGCCCAGACTCGGTCCACCTCGTGGGGCTTCCGAAAAGCCCCGGAGCCCCAAAACCACGAGAAAGCACCGGTGTTCGACCGAGACGCACCGGTGTTCGACCGAGACCCTCCGGAGGCACCTTCGCATCCAGCGAGACGTGGATGTCCTCTGGGTCCTCTTACTGGAGGCCAGGGTTTCCCGACGCATCGGCCGACTCGCGCACCGGGGGGGCACCTCGGCTGCCCGTGGGCTTCCTCCTCTGCGTGCGGGACTTCCCCTTTTGCATGATCCTTGCAGCGGAGGGACCCCCCCGGTGAGTGAGTTGGCATCGGGGCGCCATGTGTGCCCGGCGCATGCTGTGAACTAGGCGGCCGTAGCCAGCACAGGATCGCAGCAGGTGCAGCCCGACTTGGGCATCGCCCAGCGCAGCAAGGGCGTCAAGCAAAGGGCCAACTGCCTCAACCCGCCCCTTGGTGTGGGCATCAACGAAGGCGTCCCCACCAATTGCTCCACCAAGAAACTCGAAATCCCGTTGCAGCCGCGAGGAACCATCACAGCCAGAGAGGATCTCGGACAGCAGGTGCGGCACCAGGTCAGCATGTTGGAGCTGGCCAACTGCAACCACCTCGCATTTGGCGGCATTCAAAGCCAGGCCCAAGGCAGCACCACGCGATTGAATATGGCCCAAAGCAGCACCAACGGCTGCCACATCCCCCGCAATGATGCCATCGTCCAAATAGAAAAGAGCGAGGTCCAGCGGCCCGGCTCGGAGTTCTTGAGTGAGTTGGTGAATGGCTGTAGCAAACAACAATGGTCCCAAGGGGTCTCCCTGTTGCACCCCACCGGCTGACGAGATGACAGCAGTCCCAAAGCGCAGGGCAGAAGGCTCCTGGTAGCACCATGTGACCCAACGGGCAAGCCCAGGGAACTGGACTGTCGCACTCTCCAGGACGTGGTGGCGGGAAATGCGGTTGAAGGCATTGGCAAAATCCAGGAGAACTTTGTTGGCGGCGGTTCCGTTCCGCTGGGTCCAAGCCCGCACAGTGTGGATACCGATCTCAGCTCCGGATTTGATGCCCACCCCCAGCTGCGTCGGCCAAAATGCCCGCCGAGCGTCCTCCTGCACGGTTTGCATGAGGCACTTGCCTGTGAGCCGCCGGAGGATTTCGCCAACAGCGATGGGGCGCACACCGCGGTTGGGTTTGGGAAAGGCAACCAGACCGGCGCCAGCAAGCACTGGGGCAATTGCCGGGCAAACCTGGCTTTGGGCCATCAAATTCACCAAGCGGGCCAAGTGAGCTACCAAGCTGTGGGTGGTGCCAGGCGCACCTGCTTCACGGAGGTGTTGCACGCGGAGGCCCGAAGGGCCGGGGGCTGTGTCTGCTGGAAAGCTGCGGAGTGCTCGGGCCACAAGGTCCTCGGAGATCTCGTCAGCCAAGGGCAAGGAGGCAAGGTCCAAGCGGGGTTTGGGCTGAGCAGGGTGGAGAGCACGGAGGGCTGCCACAGTGTCGGCTGTTTCAGGGCAAAGCCCATTCTGCAGGAGGGCATTGCACGCTTTCCGGTCAAAGCCTTCTCTGGCCAGGTCGATGGCCAACTCGCGTTTCTTGGCGACACTCAAACGCGGCTTGGGCCCACCAGGTGGCCGGCCGGCATCGTCCCAGAGACTGCGGCGTTCCCCCTCGGCCCAACGGCGCAACCGGTCCTAGTAGGCAGCTGCTGCGCCTGTGGCGCCGGCCAGCCCGAGGTGGTGCTGACAGCACACACTGCGGTAACATCAGCAATTCTGTCCATGTCCGCAAATCATTGTGGTGGGCAGCAGCAGCAAAGGCCCGACCCAGAGCCTGTCCCCACAGGAAGCGGGCAGCGGCTGGGATGTGACGCAACGCGCGACCTTGTGCTGACTGCAGCTCATCCAGAGAGGGCAGTGTGAGGGCGGCAGCAGCGCGGCCAGCGTCGCTACCACTGAATGCAGCACGGGCGGTGGGGTGGACACCAGACCGGACAGAGACGCTGAGGCCACAGACCATGCAGCGCTGCCGGTTGTTGTCAGTCAGCCATTGTTGAGGCACTTGCCCCTCAGCGTTCCAGCTAAGTGGGAGTCAACATGCGCTATCAAGGTTTGTTTGCTGGTCCACCCTTGGGCCCGTGTGGTGTCCGAGCAGGGGCAGCCAGAGGGCAATACAGGCGTCCAGCTGCGCCGACCCCGTCCAGCAGGATGCTATGGTGGTGGACGGGGTCGCTGTCGGAGGCTGGGCCTCTCGCTGCCGACGAGGGTGCCAGGTGCTGGAGGTCCCGGTTCGCGGCTTCTCCCAGTCTTTGCCCCCGCAAGGGCCATCCAGGCCACTGAGGTTTGCGGCTGAGATGTTGCCCCCACGTCCGGCGTTGTTGCTCAATCGTCGTGGGGCCCGGCATGGGAAGGAGACCTGCAGCCGAAGAGCTTGGGTGGAGCGGGGCTCGCCCAGAGGCTGTGCAAGAGGGCGGTGAGGCGTTTCCGCTCGCGCCGCCCAATGCAGCCGACCCGTCCAGCGTCAGCGCGAGGAGCCGGTCCATCAGGAGCGCTCCAGGCAGTGACAATGGCCGGGTTGGGGTAGCCAACCGCGACCAAGCAGAAGGTGCATCACCGCATTGCCAAAACCAGGCCCTCCAGCTTTTTGATCTGAAGATCCAGGCAGCTTTTTCCAGCATCACGGGCCTCCACTTAACCGGCTCAAGTTGGGCGGGGCTTGGCCTTTGCCGGAGCTGGGGTGCGGAGCAGCTCGCTTGATGCGCCTGCTGCGTTCTTGGCTTCCGTCCGGGGTTGCGCCTCGGCTTGTGAAGAGGTCGACCCTGCCTATGTGGCTGCTGTGGTTGTGGACCCTGCTTGCACTCAAGCCACAGCGGCCTTGAATGCGAATTTGCTGCACCCCTTAGCCCCTGGGGCGGCTTTGAGCCTCAAGCAGAAGGCCCTTGGCAAGCCCAGTTCGCCACTTCCTCCATCACCGAGCAAGCTTTGCTTCGCTCCGAAGCCGAGCCGGGCGCCAGAGCCTTCCTGGCGGCCACCCAGAACCGCCGTCCTGCTGACATCTTTTTACCCAGCCTCCACGGCTCCCCTGCTGCGCTTGATTTGGCCATCACGGCCCCCCAGCGGCAGGACGTGGTGGTACAGGGCGCGGCAGCAGCATTGGCAGCAGCCACTGCTTATGCCGCTTCCAAAGCAGCCTGTTTGAACACTGCCCACCTTTGCAGCCAGCAAGGCGTGCAATTTGTGCCCTTGGTGGCGGAGTCTACTGGTGCGTGGGAGCGGGCCGCCAGCCAACTCCTGCTACAGATCGCTTGCAGTGCCGCTGCTCGGACTGGGGATGACTCGGCCACTTTGCACAGCGACCTGCTGCAGGAGTTGTCTGTGATCATTCGCAGCCATCGGGCCCGCGCAGTCCTTCGTCGACGCGCTGAGCTTGTTGGCTGAGCGTGATCCTCGACCCCTGCTGTGGACACAAGACCCACTCTCATTGTGACGATGGAGCGGCCCAGACAATGAGATGAGCTCCTCTGCTTTCGGGGTGCGTCCCCTTCTCCTTTCAGTTACACGGTTGCTTCTTTTTGGCCATCCGGTTTGTAGCCGATCACTTTTTGTTTCCTTGCTGTGACGGGACTTGTCGAAGCCAACCTCCGTTACCAGGGTTTTTTCCCTTCGCAGAAGGGTTTTTCCCTGCACTCGATTTCACCGGGATTTTTTGTCGCTACGAACGTGACAGTCCTGAGAACTCTTTTCGCTGCTAGACTTCAGGGCCATGTCCAAGAACCTGTGAAACAGTCGCGCTCAAGTGGCTGTCGGAGTCCAGGTTTCTTTAAGACCAAAGGGTGAGAAAGTGTTAAGGGCCGAACTCGGAATTCCCAGAACTGCCTATAAAAGCAAAGTGTCAAGGGTCGACCAGGTCACCCCAGGTCACCCACCAAAATGTCGATCAAAGGCCGTCTTCGACAGTCCATCTACTGCAGGAACTACTGCAGGAACCGAAGAAAATCATGGAACTTGCTCAGTACGGAGTCACAGCCCACCGAATTTCGGTGTACCGTACTGTGCCCTGCTGATGGAACCCATGTGTAGGCCAAATGCTGGAGCGATTGGGTGTGGAGCATCCAACATGAGGTGTGCAAGAGAAAGATCTCTCAAAAGACCGTCGAATGGCGTCGAGAGACCATCGACATCTGAACTTCATGAATGTCTGGAGTGTACCATGAGAACTCACGTGAATCAGGGCGGCCTCACATGTTTCACAGGACTTTGGCCCAAAAAGCAGGCAAAGACCACCGGAATTCACTTAGGGCAGAAACTGGGCCTTCAAAAATGACCAACGGACTGGTTGGTGGTTTCACTTGAGTCACCGGGGGTCAATCATTTTAGCTGGTTGAAAACAGAACAGATCTGAAGTCTAAAAGCGCCGGATGGGACTGACCAAGGCGTGATGCCGGGCCCAAAAGCGTCACCACGCACCTCCTCTCGTCGGGAAGTCCGACGGCCTCGGAAGGGCCGCCAACCACCCAGCTGTGCTGGGAACGAGGTGAGTTTGGAGTGTCTAAAGACATGCTCCTACATAAGGGTATATTTCATATCCATGTAGAGTTACATCATGTTACATCTACCAGCTCCAGGAGAATTGGATCAGCACACCCTCCATTGGTACAATACCTCTCAAAGAGAGGAGAGTTCACTGGTCACTTGGGTCACCAGCAGCCTCAGGTCAGCTGAGACTGTCAGGGGTTCCTCGTCTCGTCAAAGAAAGAAAGCTCATCGTCGGACATCCACGTGACAAGTCCCCAAGTTCCCCAAGCTCTCCGGTGCGAAATCACTTCCCGCCGGCCAAACCCTCGCAGCCAAGAACACCCACAACCTACGGACCCAAAAGAACGAGGTCGACCGTGTCTTCTCTCTTCGGCGGCTCACCACGAGAAGGGCACCCGCACCCGTCTCGGGGGCTCGCGGTGGCACCACCACGGAGCGAGCCTGGGAGGAGCGTGCCACCAGCGGCGGTGCGTGCGGTGCCAAACGTGCGCGAAAACCAAAAAGATTGTGTTCGGTTCCAAAACCACCAGAATTAGATCCCAAACTGGTGGGTCCCCAATCTGTTCCTGGTGATGTTTAGTCGTCCCAGCTGGGTCCTGAGCTCTGATCAAACAGGATGTTCCATGGGTTCCATCCTGTGACCCATCCCCATCCAAACGCACATATGAGGTTCGTAGTAGAAATTGTAGACTTATCTTTCCCCATCGTGGACGGAATGTGGATCTGTCACCATTCTTCCACTGATAACTTCCTTTCTTGGGGTTCGCATGAGGAGCTTGGAAAGCATAACTTGTCATAAAGTGCTCTCCACACACACACACACACACACGTCATGAAATCTGTCTTCAAAACCAAATGCATGGACAGAGAAAGCTATTGATTCACCACTACACTACATCATCTTCCCGTTCTGGTTCACCTGAACCTCTTTCTAAAAACTATCTACTGTAGTTGGAATGCTGGCTGCACCCATTGGAGCATGGTGTCCCATGGATCTCTTGAAGACCGTCACCCACCGCGGTGCACCAAGACCGGGAACACATGAAAAAAACTGCGGTGTGCAGCGCCCGGCGCGGAAAACGTGCCTCGTTCATGTTGTCCAGCATGTCCTCGGAGCCACATGCGGACAGAAAGTTCCTCCCTGAGCCCTCTGGCCATTGAGTGGTGATTAGCTGTAAATGACCCGGGTTGTATCTCTTGTATTCTGAAATGTGCAGGTGTTGCTCAGGCTTGTGAATGGTGGGAGTATGGTAGGAGGATGCCGAATGTGCCCACCTTTCTTTTGGGTTGCAATCTGCCACAGTGCGTCCGCTCATGATGAATGATGAGTGGCCAATCATCAAACCACGGGTCTGTTTTGCAGCTCATAGAATACGCCATCAGTTGTAGTGGCATCCCCCTCCCCCAAAGAGAGGCAGCACCTCCTGGATAGCTCCCGACTGGAAAACAGACCCCTTGGAAGACGATATTGTCGACCTACGGTTCGAAAACGATGGAACTTCTGCTCCTTTCGTGGCAACACGGGAAAAGGTTTTCAGGGTAAACCCTGAGCATCCCCTCGGGCCCCACAATGCCACAAGGGTTTCAGCCAAAATCCGAGAAAAAATAAGGGAAACACATATATATATATATAATATAAGGACAACATTGGGTGTTTAAAAGGATACAAAACGAACAAGGGTGACACGAGGAGCATGGCGCAGATTGGATCGACTCTTCAGGGCGGTGTTCGGCGTGCCACGGGATCTGAGCATCCCACCAGCTTCAAGCAGTAGAGCAATTCCTAGCCATGCGTCCAGTGGCACAGCGGGACGGCGGCCCCGGTGGCCGGTCCCCGTGGCCGGTGGCCGCGGTCACTCCCGGGGTTGGTGGAAGTGGTTGTGAAAAAGTGGCGTGAAGAAAGATCCGTGGACTGACCGTTCATTCACTTTGATGCTTCATAGTTCTTCAGTACACCTTTAGCTCAATTGACCAACCTTTGATCTTTGTCCTACGCTCTGAACTTGGCATGTTGACATCTAACCTGGCTGTTGATATCTCTGTAAAGAGTTCCGTAAGCTTCTCATCAATCCCACACCTTGACCTGGGGGCGAACGGAACAAGTTCAAAAAGCCTGTGACAGAAGCTCGGGCTGGACAGATCTTTCTTAGATCTTCTACAGTGTTGGACGGACTGTGACCCAAGATCTTCTGCCCCTTCTTCTACACTGTCTCCAATCTTTTGCGACCTCGCCGTCTCTTGCCGCAGCTCGAGTCTCATCCCCCACCTCATCTCGTGGGCTCCGACTGGACATGGCGTCCGACTCCGACACATTCGCCTAGGCAGAGCTGCTTGGAAGCTTCTCAATCCCAGCTCTGGGAAGGGCCGGAAATTTAACATCTCGAATGCCATGGAAACTCTCTGTAAAGCTTAAGATAATTATATATATATAACTCGAACAGCAAAGGTCCCAGCACTTGTTCTGGCCTTAACCTTACTAATTACTCTAGTCCATGTGGCCCTTTGGGGTGGTCATTTCTTTTCCCACCGACCGAAGGCTACCTACGAGCGATGGCCTGGAACCTAAGAGCGATGGCCTCCAACCCACTAGCAGTGCCTCCAACCTAAGAGCGGGTTTTTAAAAAGAAAACTCTACAACCTGTGGTCTACACCTTCCGCACTTCTTCACATGCCAGATCTGGGCTCCGCGCCGGTGCCAGATCTTGGCTGTTCGTGCTGCTGGTCGCCGATCCCATGCCGGCCTGGGATAGCTGATCCCACAAAGATCTTGCAGCAGATTTTGAGCATAACTCGTGAGGCATAACGAATCGCATCGAATGACTATCTCCTCAGGAAGAGCATCACACTGATGATGATCGTTATCATAAATCATAATAATTGTCCTCATGATCATCAAACTGATCATCATCACTCCTCCTCCTCCTCTTCTTCTTCCTCCTCCTGTGTTTCTTCTTCCTCCTCCTGTGTTTCCTCTTCCTCCTCCTGTGATTCCTCTTCTTCGTCCTCCTCTTCTTTCTCTTCTTCGTCCTCTTCCTCTTTCTCTTCCTCTTCCTCTTCCTCTTTCTCTTCATCCACTTTGTTGATCGAACCATGACACTTCGACCCAACTTCTACCCCATTTGCATCTGCGAAACCCGCACAGCCCGCGCAGCCCACGGCCACGAGGTTACCACCACCGCGCCTCCTTGTGGTGCCCAGCCGGCGAACTGGGCCACGTGTCGCCCAGCTCCAAGTCCTCGCGGCGTGCAGGTCGGTTCACGAGAAAAAAAAAAAAAGGAGAAAAGAATCTGGAATAGATGGCGCAGTTGAAAAGCCTCAACCTTAGGTGTCTCTCACAATACCTCTTGAAAGCCACATCAACTCATATTGCCCAGCCATCCACCAGTTTCTGATGCTTAGAGATGCTACCTTTTGATCGCTTCAGCTCGACTGTCAGGGAGCCATGAGAAGCTGGCAAGCTGTGAGTTGTTCCAAGGGTTTTGCAGTGGAAGAAAAAAAGCAAACTTTGGGGAAGATCAAAATCCATATTAGAGATGTCTGATCCGAGATGCCCATCTGATATCTGATATCAACAAAACTGATGTCCCTTGGTCTTTCAATTGAGCCAAACCTTCACCCGTCTCTGGGCGCGTTCGGAACGAGTGCTCCGTTTCTTCCCCAACGACGGCCGGAGAACGATGCTGTCTCTTCAGACATAGCCACCTCCTCGCGGCCATTGGGTGAGTTATCATAGCCACTCCGCCTTCGTTTCGAAAAGCGCGGTTCATCAAGGATCATCAAGGGGTCCAAGAATACTTTTAGGGAAAAACAGGAAGAAAAAGCTGGAAGAAACAAAAAAGAAATGCAAAGAATCCTTTCATGTTGGTTTTGTTTTTTGGGGGAAAAGAAGTGAGGTCAGTGAGGTCAGTGACCAAAAGAATTGATTTTGGATAAAAAATTGCCGAGATCAGGGTGGAGATCAGGTCTGAAAATCCAAAAGCCCCCCAAAAAGGACGCCATGAACTTGAAAGAAGATCTCCTTGTCGTTCATGGCGTGCCCACCCTTATCACCAAACTGCCCTGGCAAAAAGAAACCTCCAGATCAGACCCGCAGACTGGGATGCAAGCTGGGATCTCTGACTTCCTTGCAGAGTTCTGTCCAAAGATTTTGCAGGATACAACCAGCTCCGTGGAGCACAGTTCCAGGTTTGTTCCCCCAGACAAACAATGGGAGAAACCATGGAGGCCAACCCAGCTGTCCTTTTTCGAAACAGGTCTGCAGAACGTGCGAAGCTCGCCAGAAACGTCCTCCGTTTCCGGTCCATCGGAAGGTGAAAAATGGAACAGGGTGAGATGGTGGGTTCCAGGTTGTTTGCAACTTACGAAAAGTCTTCCAATGTTGCGAAGACGGTGAACAACCCCCTCGCTGTGTTCAGAGCTTGGAGAACGCCACCACCCCGCACGATTTGTCGTTCAAAGGTCCAGGTGACATGCGCAGTGGAGGCTGGGACCTCAGTCTAAGTTCCTCTTGTTTGGAGGCTGGGACCCCGGTCATTTCTCATGTTTGGGCTGGACTCTTTCCCGTTCCAGTGGAGTTACTCCACACCTTCCTCTCCCAAGCCAACCAACTCTCTCCGGCTCCATCCACCTCGAGGAGGCCACGGACTGCCACTGGAGCATCTTGCCCATGGGCCTGGAGCGCACGCATCTCGGCCCCGAGATCAGTGAACAACCACCCGATGGCGGTTTTCAAACGGGGGCACATGGCGATGAACCACCTGGCGGGACTCATGAAAGAGATATTAAAGAGTGACCCAGTCCGAATCAAGGGTGGGTCCAATCAACGGGAGAAAAAGGGCAAGTCAGACGCCACATTGGGTTGGCACACGTTCTCTTTTCAGCCTCCCAAATGTCTCACAGGTGGACGGTGGTCTGGATTTGAATTCTTCAGAGCCTTTGAGTCTGATGATGTCTGATGACTCATGGCTGAAGTAGCAACTAAGTAGTTTAGGCGTTTCCCAGCTAAGTCCAAGTATGGCCCAGACTTTTGTAATTAAGAGTAAATATATATATATATATATTAGCGGCTCTCATCTTTGTGTTTGAGCATCTCACCTCAGTCCCGCCTGGCTGACACCCTGGACATCACCTTCCTCATCATGTCCGAAACTGCGCAGGGCGGGCCGTGTCGAGTCGACTCGTCCAGGGCCGTTGGGTCGCTGGGTGGGCATCGATTCTGCACTGAATGTTCATGCAGATCGGTGCGGGGAGGTTGGTCCGCCCCCAAAAATGGGACGACCTGGCGACCTGAGAGCGCCTTTTTCTGGCAGGGGTTGTTCAAGGCAGACGGTGGATTTCATCAGAATCCAAGTGGTCCAAAAGAAAGGATGATATACCTATATACCCTGTTCAACAGGCAAAAGATTAGCCAAAAATGTGGGCATCTGGATCCTGTGTCTGGCGTCTCAATTCTCTTGGCACGGATTCTCATTTCGTGCGGGTCCTCCAAGAAAGATACAGTGGTGTCCCCAATTTCATTTCTTCTATGATGCTGTTCCTGGTGGCGAAGAGAAGGACGAGTTGGCATAGTTCGATCCAACTCCTTGACGAGACTGCTGGCCCAGGAGCTATAAATCCTCCGTATTGCCCGCGTGGCATTTCACCAAAAACACGCATGCACAACCTCCTGTATAATCTTGATACCTTTGGCCAAAAATCCCAATCGTGGTGGGTATTCATCTCTCCACGGCGTGGTGTTCATCTCTCCACAGCACCGGTTTTTGTGAAAACCACGGCAAAGTCCGTCAAACCGGATCCGATCCATGAGGAAGAAGAAGCTCCAAAACTTCAAGAAGTGCATCCGTTTGGAACCTTTTCCGGACCGAAGCAAAACACCTGCATCTCAAAAAGAAACACCCAAAGCCTCGACCACACCCCGTGGTCGAACCGAACTCGGTCCACCCGTGGGACCAAGCTGCGCGCTGCGCCCCCCCGGTGGTTCTCGACCGGGCGGTTCCCCGGCGCCTAGGTCCGTTCCTTGGAAGTCGCTCTTCCTGGTTGCGGCCCAGGTCCGGCGTCGGGCCGGGTTGGGTTCCTAAGGCTAAGTGACCTAAGGGTTCCTAAGGGTAAACAAGCATCATGTTGGACCGAAGGTAGACCCCATTCTCACCCTGTTCTTCCACCCACACCCCATCACAACCCCGCTGATCTCCTGGTTCTCATGCTCTGAACCTCCACTCCGAAGTGAAGGCCCGCCTCCGCTCGCTGGATCCAGTCGCTCGTTTTGGGGCTTCGTCCCGGGTCCCAACGCCTGGTGGTTTTGGGGTTCTTTTTCGTCGTGGTGGTTTTGGGGGTGTCCTTTTCGTGAAGTGTTCGTGTCCTTTTCGTGGCCATGTGTGATCACGTTCGGACCAGCACTGAATGTCCTGAGTCCGCGAACAGCTGTGTCCCACAGGCTATTTTGGAAAGCTCAGTCCATCGTGCTTGGAACAGGAAAAAGATGCGTGTTCCCCAGTCTGGATGTGTCCGGATGCAACCACTTGTCAATTTAGTCGTTCAAAAACCGAATGTGGTCGAAGCATGTTGAAGCATTGAGCTGTACAGTACCTGGCATGGTCACCTCAAAAAGAGCATATTGAAGAAATATGATGAAGAAATATATACCAACCTGTCAAATGATGAATCTGTGGATCATCCCCGCCTTTTCCTTCAGCATCAAACACCTCAAATTACCAACGCTTCCCGCGTGAAACGGGCCTTGCGGAAGCGCACCGGCCCGTCATCCGAGAGGTAGATATCCCGAAGCCTTTCGAAGCACCGCGGCGTTCACGTCGGGAAAAAGAAGCACAAAGTCATCGATCTGTGTCACCTGTTTTTACATGTTTCCAATTATGCAACCCCTATCCATCTGAATGTATCTCACAATTTCCGGACCAAGATGTCGTCCCCTGTTCTCAAAGTGGACTGAAAGAGAGGAAAAGTGCATTTCCTCGGTCTATCCGTACGACATGCGACAGCAACAAAGAGAGTAGTGTTCGTTTGGACCTCGTATCCTGCCGTGTCACGCCCCCCCGGTACAGGGAACCTGCTCCATCACTGTTCTTTTTGGGGTGCCGTGGCCCTGGCTGACTTCGTCTGGTCCGAGGCATCCCGGCAGCTGGAAGTTCGAGGAGTCGACGCTCGGGAAGAGGGTATTGTAAAAGACCACCTGGGTCCGTCACGTCCGGCAGGACCGTTGCGACGGCGACGATCGCGTTCCGGGATCCAAGCGAGATCCAAGCGAGATCCAAGCAAGATCGGCCTGGGGGTCCAGGTTTGAGGCAACCCAACCGAGATTTCCCTGTGACAACCCCTGCAGTGAGACGTCTACTCCCAGGGAAGATTCCCATCGAACTATGGAACCTGAAACTGGACCTGTGGAGGGAAGCTCCACAAACCAGTGACTGACTTCACAAACCCCAAGACCTGGCGACTTCGCCCCGGAGGAAAACACCAACCTTGGCCCTGCCGAGCAGCGCAATCCCGGCGGAATTCCGCTTCCATCAATGGCACCACCTGGGTCACAGGAGCTGACCGCCAGGACCCAACGGAGGACCAACCGACCGACCTCCACACGTCCCGCTCGGCGCTGCGAGGAAATCCATGGATTATAGATGATGTAATGTACTACACAATCTTATGTATTAATATATCATATATATATACCCTAGAAGTCCAAAGACTATTGTTTGACCGGCTCAAGTAAAGGAAGTTCCCTTTCAGGTCCCCTAAAGACCATTCCTTTCATTGTCTTTGACTTCCAGGGTATATATATATATATTAACTTGTATATATGATATGATAATAATACCTATACATCTATATAACTTATATGATATGAGAAATCCATGCACTCTTGATTAATACACCTCTTTGTATGAGGAATTGATAAAACTCCTTTTTTGTAATCAAGAGTCTACATTATAGGTTTCACAGGACTTCCAACTGATGTAAAGAAACTTCCTGGACTGATGTGGACAGGGTGGACTCGCGTTTGACACACTTGGTGGAACGGAGGGACTCCGAAGCTGTTTCAGGGTTCTTACGTGGATCTGAAAAGAACCGGATGAACATCCACATGCCAAAAGCGAATCAAGCACTGCCACGGCCATGTCGCCGGGGCGCCACGTCGCCGTGGTTCCCTCCCGTCTGGACTTCTTCCAGAAACACCGTCCAACAGGAAAAAACAGCATTCCAAGATCCACCAAACAGGTGGGACACGACTGCGCGGTGCACCAAGTCACATCCTGACCCTCGCTGATGCAGGGCTGGCCCTGCTGGCCCTGGCAGTTGCGGCAGACGGCATCCCAGAAGCGCAGAAGCTGGCTGAGCTTCTTAAAATCCAATGTAGAACATGAACCATCAGCAACCTGCCATGTTTTTCCTTTTTTTTTTCGATGCTATGGCCCCACCTCCATCCCTCCATCCCTACTCTTGTCGATGAGTTGAAGCGTTTTCCATGCAAAAAGAGACGTCACCTCTCTCGCGTCTCTCCCCTGCAACCAAAAAGGCCTCCAAACAGACTCATGACTCGTCGCGAAACTGAGCTGTCCCGTCTCGGTGGAGCCTTGATGTTCGGCCCCTTGCCAGAATGCCACATGACTTGCCAGTCCTGCGACACTCGATGGGGTCGAGTCGTGAGCTGTTGGACGGAAGGTCTACATCCGATCTTTGGGTTTTACAATGCACCTGAAGCCTTTTTTTGCGCAGCAAAGGTCCGGTGACTGAAAACTCGCGACCCACCCGTCTGAACTCACCAAATCTTGTCTTTTTCACCAAAAAATACGTTTAACGTCCTCACCACCTTCATCCCCCAAGGCAACAAACTCCACTTGCACCACCTTCCCCCGTGGAAACCACCGCTTCTTCCGCTCCGTGGGCTTCCACTCGCGGTTGCATTCCTCCAGCAGTGCAGCCTCGGAGAACAACCATATCCCAACGGACATACGGGTGACCAATGTATTCACACGGGTCGATCTCCTGGGGATGGGGGATGGGGTATGGGTTTGGATCCGGTGCAAATGCCGGACACTTTCTGGACCCAAAAGGGAGGGCGAAAGGGTCCCACCCATGAGACCATAGTCCTTCCACCGTCAGACGGGAACTCCGCTGCCTCACGTAGGCCACACTCATTGGGCGCTGTTCAGCGGGTCGAACCGTTGGATCCCACTTCAACCCGAGCAAAAAGGTTTTTCTTCACCAAGGGGTGAAGAGAAGAAACCAAACGAAAACCCCAGAAGCCTGCCAAAAAGAGGCATAAAGAGAGCCTCCAAAGACCAGGACCAAAAAGATCAGGTTGAATTACCAGACCTTAAGTTCATCCTAAGGCTAATGATCAAGGATTTTCACTAGATGTTGCTCAGTGTAGCTGGGCAGTCTCACACTCTCACACACTGTCAATATGTTTCGAAAGTGGGATGCTCTGCCAATGTCATAAAAGGCTTCCACTGGTCATATGGTCTACTCTTCAGGATGTTAGCTCACGACCGAGCTCTTCTCCTTGTCCCGGAAGATGATTGGAACTCCTTGATAGTAGTCGTAGTCATAGTCGTAGTAGTCGTAGTAGTAGCAGAACAGTAGCAGTAGCAGCAGCAGCTCCTCCCATCCTACTCTTGAGTTACAAAAAGATCTCTCTCTCTCTCTCTCGCGTACTGCTCCACGCAGCACAGACTGGCCCTTCCGGTCGCCCTTCCGCCCTTCCGGTCGGCCCTCCGATCTCCCAGGCGCCGAGAAGGACGAGGAGGTGTTCACCTTCCTCTGCAAGAGCCAGTGCCGTTGTTGCCGCTTCGGCTGGCGCGTGGTGCACGCACGGGGCGTGAAGGAGGGATCCGAGAGCGGATCCAGTGCGGAGGAGTTGTTAGTGTGTTGGAAGGGTGGCAAAGAGAAAGAACAGAGGTTCAAAAATGTGTTTGCTTTCTAAAGAATAGGCCTCCAAATAAATAGCTGTGCGGTGTTCAAGTCTGGTTGACATTATGGAAATCGTTCTATATTGTAGGGTCTAAGATTGGCCTCCGGTCATCTAAACACACTTAAGCCACAATGAGGTAATGCCTGGATTTGCTTGTGAGATTGGCAAACCTCTCCGAACATCAAATCGAGCTGTTGAAAGTCCTCAACCCAGCCCTCAAACAAAAAATATCTCTCAGGAAAGATGCTCCTCAGCTTCAAAATCTAGAGAGGCTCCTTTGAGAAAGAGAGGACCTCACCGTCCTCACCGTCCTCATTTTCTCTTTCTTCAAGAGATGGCTGTGGATCGAAACCCGGAGCCTGGAACTCGCCTGGAACTTGACCTCAATACAGTCATTCAATCCATTCTCTTCATTCGAAGAAACCAAACCGACCTCTTCGTCTCGTCCACTGGAGAAAACTCGTCCTCACCGTCTCGTCCACCCGTGCTTCGTCCGCACCGCTTCGTCGGAAACAGCCCCCGTCACCCGTCGTCACCCGCGCACCACCCGCCACGACACACCCGGCGCCACCTCCCCGAGGGTCTCGGACTCGTTCAGCTCGAGGAACTTGTCCAAGAAGGAGCGAAGCCTCCGGACGGAGGATGTGCAAGCTCTTCCGCCGTTCTTTTCGGAGAGAGAACAAGAAGCGCGCTTCCGACATGTCCAGCTGATTTCATTGAAGCACCGCGAGTGATGCGATTATGGAGCTTTAAAAAAATAGGAAAAAAACTCAGTGAGTAGGACTATATAGTAGTGTTGATTTGGTCGACCGTGCAGGGACTTTTACGCCCAAGAGGAAAACAGGTCCGCGCGGTGCGCGGAGCAAGGGCTACCATCATTGGTAGCGGGGCAGGTAAAATCCTGACTCCTGTAGGATTCGGTGTGCTGGACGCATACCTAGGTCGTCGACCGTGCTGCTATGGAGGCTGGCACTTCTCTCCGTTATTTCAACGGAGAAGACTGTGATCACCGAGAGTATAGGAGGTGGAAACAATGGGTCGTGAACAAAATGCGGACCATGGACAAGCTGGCTGAAGATTCTCGTGGATCTTTTGTTTGGACTCTTCTTTCTGGCCGTGCGCTCGAGGTTATCGAGCACCTCAAGGAGAGTGACTACCAGGTCAAGGGCGGGGACAAGGTGATCTTCGACCTCCTTGACAAACGTTGGCCGGAATTGGACCGGACAGATGAGATAGGAGAAAACATAGCTGCTGTATTCGCCCTGAAGGCGACAGAGGGCGAGAGTGTCCGCCAATGGTGTGCTCGAAGCCGTGAAACCTTCGACCGCTGTGCGCGAAAGACTGGAGTGAAATTCCCTGAAGAAGCTCGTGGATGGATACTCCTGAATTGCAGTGGTCTTCAAGCTGAACAACGTGCGGTCGTACTGGCACGTGCTCAAGGGGACTTGAAGTTTGATCAGGTCTCGCAATCGATGAGGTCTTGCTTCCCGGACTATGTGGTGCCCAAGAAGCGAGCCGTTGCCGCTGTGACCTTGGACGACCCCTCTTCTGTGTCAGAACCCCTGGACGAGCCGTCGTATGACGGGTTTCGTGATGTGGAGTTGTTTTTGGCCGAACATGGCCATCATGAAGAGGATCCTTCATTTTCAGCTGGTGACACAGAGGGCTTCGAGGAGGAAGAGGCAGCTGAGATTTTAGCTGCGACATGGAAAGAAAAGAGGGCTGAGTTGAACATGGTGCAAAAAGGACGTCGTTTTTCTGCGCCTGATGCCCGCAAGGGAGCTGGAGCGTCCAAGGACTTCAAACGGTCCTTCAGGGTTCAGGTGGAGGAGCTGAAGCAACGGACACGAGGCCGTAAGTGCGGAAAACTGGGACATTGGCAACGAGAGTGTCGCCAGGGCTCTTCGTCATCGGCTTCCCACCAGGCTCCAAGCCATGCTGCAGGAACTGTCCAAGTCTGTGAGCCACTTGAACATTTTGTATGTACTGCTGCTCGCTGTGAGGAACATGAAGTGCTATTGGTGAGCAGTCCAGGTTTTGCAGTACTGGACAGCGGCTACGGGAAAACAATCATCGGTCGCGACACGCTGAACTCCTTTAAGGACATTTGGCAAAGACATGGTATTGCTCCCCGACCAGAAAAGGCGGAACGCAATAGTTTCCGCTATGGGAATGGTGAACAAGAAATGAGTGAAACTGTGGTGGACATGCCCGTCTTCTTGGCCGGACGCCCCGGCTATGTGACAGCTGCCGTAGTTAAAGGGAGAGCTCCCTTGTTGCTTTCTCGGCCTGCCCTGAAGAAGTTGCAGGCTCAAGTTGATTTTTCAGGTGACACCCTGCAAGTTTTTCCTGATCGAGTTCGGGTGCCCCTGGAGGTCAATGCAGCTGGACAGTATGCCATCAAGGTGTCCGATTTCCCAAGTCAGGCTCAAACCATGTTTCTGCCGCTGGCCCATGACGAGCAGGCCACTCCAGAGCCGACAGCATGCCTCTCGGTGGCGTATGATCGTCATCCCCAAAAACAGAAAGACTATTGGGAGTATAGGCCTCAAGAACGCATTGTGATTAGACACCATCGTAAGCCCAGGGAAACCTTGTTCACACCAAACAACACACAGTGTCCAATCGACGTGCATCTTCTTCAGGCCAGTCGAACTACTACCGTCGATAGCCCGGCCTCCGTCCTCCGAACAACAGAAGATTTGTGGACCGATCCGGAGAGAGCCCATCGCAAACATGATTCGAAGCCGTGGACCGGAACCACCATCTTCCAACTCCGACCCGATGCGTCAGTTCCGATCCCCGTCGGGGCCCAGGACGAAAAGCTGAGTGTCATGCACTGGACTGCCAAACAACATCGGCAGCTCATGGCTCAGCTGCAGGCTCCCGGTCCTGTCAAGGGTTCATCCTTTGATATCATCGAAGTGTTTTCTCCGCCTCGTTTTGCGCTTGAAGGTGCAAAGGTCGGATGGTCTGTGTTGTCGGCCGACTTATGCACAGGTTGGGATTTCCGCCGCCGAGCCGATCGTGATGCACTCAAGGAGCATGTTCGAACAAGCCGACCCAAGTTGTTAGTGTGTTGCCCTCCATGCACGTGGGCAGGTGGATGGTGGCACCTCAACCGCCTACACATGACTGATAAGGAGGTCGCTCAACGGGAATTTTGGACCAGGGTGTTCATTCAGTTTTGTTGTGAACTCATGGAACTGCAGTTTTCGTATGGTGGACAATGTTTGTTCGAACACCCCAAAGATTCTGTAGCTTGGCATCACCCCAGCATGGTGAAACTGACCAAGTTCATGCACATGATCGTCGTCGATATGTGTCAGTATGGCCTTCGAATCCCAGGTGGCGACCTGATCCGGAAGACCACAAATTTGTTGGTCTCACATGAGTGCATGAAGGGAATTGCCAAACGATGCCCCGGGTCGTCCCATGGAGATCACTCCAGACATCAAGTAGTGGCCGGCAGTCACCCTCAGGTAGGAGCGATCAGTACTTTTGCAGGTAAGTACACTCCAGCCTTTGTGAAAGCTGTTCTTCGCACTGTCAAAGGACTCCCGGAAGCTGAGTGTCTCATAGTGATGGATGACCGGAACATCGAGTGTCTCGTCGCTCATTCGCTTGAGGAACTGAACCAAGAGCCAGAAGATAAGATCGGATCAAGCCTCCGTAAGTTGCATAACAACTTAGGCCATCCTTCTCAAGCCGTGTTGCTAAGGGTCCTCAAGCATGGAGGAGCATCAGTAGCTGCCATCGATGCTGCCCGTCGATTCCAGTGCGATCAATGCGAAGCCCAAAAGAACCCCAAGGTAGCCCTTCCTGCTCAAACCACAAGGGTGACTGAGTTCAATGCTGTTGTAGGGGTGGATGTTAAGTATCTCAAGGGATGGCAGACCAATCAGCGAATTCCAGCTATTAATATAGTGGACTTTGCCAGTTCGCTTCAGATGGTGGTGCCGATATTCCGGAAAGAGACAGCTCAGGTCATGCGTCAAGTGTTCATGGAACGGTGGGTTTCATGGGCTGGTATGCCCCAGGAAGTGATTTGTGATTCGCACAGGGCAAACATCGCTGACGCCTTTTCACTTGTCCTTGAACAGGGCGGCGCCTCATTTAAGCTGACGGCGGCAGACGCCCACTGGCAACTGGGCAAGGTCGAGGTTCATGGTGGTTGGTTTAGCAGGGTGTTAGACCAAGTGTTGACTGAGCATGAACCCCGTACGCAAGAAGAATGGTTGGATTGTGTCCATGCTGCTCATTGCAAGAACCAACTGATTCAGGTATATGGTATGACACCTTCCCAATTTGTGTTTGGAAAGAATCCGAGAGTGCCTGAAAATTTGTTGGACGAGCCGTTGGACATAGTCCCTGCCACTGCAGCTCTCTATGAAGAAGCAGTAGCCAAACAAGTGGCTATTCGAGCTGCAGCTCGCAAAGCCGTCCTCGATCTGCAAGACAGCAAGGCCCTTCGTTTGGCCCTGGCAGCTAGACCTCGAGTGACCACAACGTATGCGCCAGGTACCTACATAGCCTTTTGGAGGTCACAAAAATGGGTTCATGGGTCTCTGGAGAAAAGTGGTCGATGGTGTGGTCCTGCTGTAGTGTTAGGGTATGTCGGACGCAATTTGGTGATCATCCATAAGAGACAGATTTTTCGGTGTGCCCCGGAACAAGTTCGTTCGTCGACACAGGATGAGATCAAACTAGTAGAGACTCCAAATATGGAATTTTTGGGAATCAAACATCTCATCGAATCGGGTCAACTGTCAAGCAAACAGTATATCGATCTAGTGCCTGACGCCTATCCCGGAGAGTCATCAGAGGACACTCGGTCTGATGAAGCCGACAGGGGTTCAGTCCCCCAGTCTGTGCTGGACAAAACGGCAGCGGGTGGTCAGCCCAAATCGTCAGATGTCGATATGCAAGCTAACCTCAACGGAGAGGAGCTACCACCCGTACCCGTCCAGGACAAAGCCACTGATTTTCGCGAGGCAGAATTGCCACAGCCTGTTGACCAGTCGACCACTCGACCAGATCCAGACACAGTAGATCCGGAAACAGGCTATGGTCCCGTCAGACCTCGTCGTAGGATTCTCCAGAAAGACGGCCCGATGGCTTTGTATCGACCTGGACGTATGGCAGATGAAGACTTCCAAGAAATGATGCAGGAAATCGTCCCTGCATCATTCAGGATTCTCCCCAACAGGCAAAAGCAGAGCCATCGTCAGAGCCTCCTGCTGATCCGCATGGACTCAAGCGTTCAGCTGAGGACCTACCAGAGTCCTCCCAGCCTTCGACTAAGAAGCCGACCACAGGGTGGGAAGACGATCAGCTCTGTGTTCAAGCAACAGGGGAAACCTTTGCAAAGGATGAAATCACCATCTGTTCAGTGGAACACCTCACACAGGCCAAACTGGTTAGGAGAGCTGAGAACCTCACATTAGAAGAGATAAATGACCTAGTTACCATGTACAACAACGGAGCATCACATGAAGTCTTGGTAGCAGCCTACATGAAGAAGAAAGCGTCCAAAGAGATACCCGTCACGGGGAACCCCCTTGAACTGCAAATCAGAGTGGATGAAGCGAAATTGCTCGAGTGGAACACCATCCTCTCGAAGCATGCTGCGCGGTTAGTTCTAGGCCCCGAAGCCGATGATGTCAGGAAACACCTCCAACATCGAATCATGGGTAGCCGATATGTCATTACCATCAAGCAGGAGGATGATTCCGCTCCCAGAGTTAAGGCTAGGTGGTGTCTCCAAGGTCACCTCGATCCCGACTTGAGCGAAAAGGCCAGCGCTGGAGACCTTCAAAGTCCCACCTTGTCCCAAGTTGGTAGGAACATGCTGTTTCAGCTGTTGGCTTCCCACCGTTGGCGCATGTCCTTGGGAGATATCAAGGGTGCATTCCTGGCCGCAGGGGATCTCCCCAAGCGGTATCGACCTCTGTACGCTAGCCTTCCGAAGGGAGGAATACCAGGTGTGCCAGAGAACGCCTTGATTGAGGTAGTAGGTCATGTGTACGGTCTCAATGACTCCCCCTCAGCATGGTATCGGAAGCTGCACCAAGAACTTGTCCGTGTTGGGTTCGAACGGTCTCGATTTGATGCGTGCTTGTTCTATGTTAGAGAACATGGACAGCTAAAAGGGGTCTATGGAGTGCACGTTGACGATTGTGTCACAGGGGGTTGTGGGACAGCCTACACCAACGCCATTTCCGAATTGCAGAAGGTTTTCGAATTCCGCAAGTGGCGGCAAGGATCGGGGGATTTTTGCGGTGCCCAGTATGAGCAAAACATGGAAACCTTCGAGATCACTATGAGTCAAGAAAAGTTTGCTCATAAAATCCGACCCATCCATATGAGTAGGGAGCGATGTAGGGATAGGGATGTCCCCCTTGATGACAAGGAGATTAGCTGTTTGAGGGCTGTGAACGGAAGCCTTAACTGGCTAGCAAACCAGTCCCGACCTGATCTTGGAACACAAGTATCGTTCTCCCAACAATCGTTTCCAAAGCCCACAATAGGAGATGCAATTGCTGCAAATCATGCTGTTCGTAGGGCGCGACAACATGCAGATCAGAAGATCCATTACTGTTCAATCCCCCCGGGTGAGTTAGGTTTGATGTGTCATTCCGATGCAGCGTTTGCCAACGCCAGAGCGGGGGCCACTCAAGCGGGTTTCATGGTGAGTTTCGTTCACCAAGATGTAAACAAGGGAACCGACTGTTCTTGGACGCCCGCCTACTGGAAAAGCTTCCGCCTTCCTCGAGTGGTGAGCTCCACACTTAGTGCTGAGGCTCAAAGCATGTCAGTTGCCTCGAGCATGCTTGAATGGACAAGTTTGATTTTGTCAGAGGCCCTGGATGGACCTCGACTGTCTCAGAGCCTATGGACTGGCCTTGGAAACCGTTTGGTGTTGCTAGTAACCGATTGCAAGTCTTTATACGACCATCTAATTGCTCAATCCTCTCCGACGCTAGAAGACCGTCGGACTTCGATCGATATCGTCATCCTTAGGGATAGCATTAGTCGTATGAGAGCTCATATCCGGTGGATACCAACGGATAGGATGTTGGCTGACTCTCTCACCAAGGAGAGTCCTGAGGCATTCGATCTTGTCAGAGCGTGCCTAAGGACCGCTCGTTACCAAATTAGCCCGGAGGCCTTGGTACTTGAGCGCAGAGCCCAGGAACGTGATCGCAGGAAACAGTTCGTGCAGAAGACCAAGTCACATGATAGCGCAGCGCATGAATAGCACTGTGTCGTATTCATGAGTGCATATAGTCTCAAGGGATAATAACGAGTTATTTTGAGTGATGCACTTAAGGGTTGATGAATACCAAACCATAGTGAAGCTGCCGCCTATCCTTTTTTGTTTGTTTGTCGTGCTTGTTTCTGCAGAGAGTAAATTCATGATGCATGTGTTTTGTTTATTTGAGTAGAACCTAACCCTGCCGAGCAGAATAATATCCAAACAACCTCCGTGTTTGTTACATGGTTCAAGCTTTCTCCAAGAGAGTGGAACAAGTCGAGCTTGATTTCCGTTCGTGTGCGAGTGATCATGGTCATGAACTCTAAGGGTGTTTTCACTCCAGCCGAAGCTGACGAGTGTTTCCGCCTGGTTCTCAAAGCCAGGAAATGTGGTGCATGGGATGCCCTGATGAAGCGTGTGCAAGATGTCGAAGATATCTCACTTGACCTCAAGTGGGAGGGTTCCCCTTCTGGAACTATGACCGATGCTTGCAAGCGTCTTCGTGAAGAAAAGAAGTCCACAGGCCCAGAGATGGCCTCATATGTTGCTTCGTCGGTGGGAGCGACCATGCCCATTCCGATGCCGGTGTCGCCGGAGCAGGCCCAGTCTCCGTATCCCCAAGGCAATCTGCCGCCCGGTGTGACGTCGATCAGCCAGTGGGGATCCTCTTTAGTGGCCTTTGGCAAGTACAAGGGTGTGAAGACCTATGAGGAAATGCGTGATCCCAACGATCCTGATCTCGCCAGCTATCGATCCTACTGCGTGAGCCATTATAAGACAGGGTCACCAGGGTTGAAAGATCTGGTGGATTACTTGAATGCTTGCGGCCAGAGCATGTCCAGCGGTTCAATGTTGCCCGGCAGTTCGATCCCTCGCCAATTTAGAAAGTAGATGGAGTGTTGATTTGGTCGACCGTGCAGGGACTTTTACGCCCAAGAGGAAAACAGGTCCGCGCGGTGCGCGGAGCAAGGGCTACCATCAGTAGGATGGTTTGTGTGGGTTCTTGCAGGTGTATTTTTACTGCCCAAAGTCAGTAGAGCCCACAGTTGGCTCAGCAGCGGTCTGAAGAGATGGCGGATTGGTAAAAGAAAAAAACTCAAAAATAAAAGGAACACGTGCAATCTGACCTCATGCGCGCTGGTAAGCATCTCCATGTTGATCCCCGACCCCAACCAATCAGTATGGTCACCAAGCCAACGACAAGCTATCCAATTCAAGATGGGCAGGACGTCCACAGGCCATAAAGTTCGCTAAGAAGGAAGGGAAGATGATTATGACAAGGGAAGACGATTCTTCCTCCCCCAACTGGAGCCAAGCTTCGGGTTCACCCTCAAGTGAACAATTCCAGTCCCGTGTATCGTCCCTGAATCGTCCCTCAAGTGGGCGCGAAATCCATGCCGCCAGAGTACCAAGCCTTTTTGAGAGCCCCAGACACCCCCTCCACACAAAACGCCCCACCGAATCCCAATCCACAAACACACGCCGAAAACGACGGATATACGTTCGACGATGTCTCGGTGCTCGCCCAAGGCACTGCGTGGAATTGCGACTCACGGTGCTCTGAAGGGCCACGTCCACATCCACCTCTTCCACTCCCTGGGGCACGACCGAACCCCGACCGGACCACAACCAAGGCCGTGTTAGTCTTGATGATGGTGAAAAAACAAATGAACAACTTCTGCGATGCGGAACATGCATGGGCCATGTGTAGGAAAAACTGACACACCGGCAAGAGCCTCATGTTTTAAAAAGATTGTATAAATAAATCCCAGACACGTTTCCCCTCACTTGGATGGCCAGAGTGGAGAATGTTCCCCTTACCTCCCAAAAAACCTCCCTGACCTTCAGAAAAGAGCAGAAAGCCGAAAGGAGAAGAGATAGGATGAAGTAAGGTACTGCAAGAGATTGGAGATGCTATATGTTCCAAAACCCATTTCTAAACCCCATAGAATGCATTGGGACGGCATTCTTCTCCATCGGCTGTGTTTTCGGAATTCGTGCAAACTGAAAGCATCAAACAAGAAGGAAGTAAACACATTGTCTGCCAGGAACCTTCTGGATAAAAGAGAAACTGATAAGTCCTCACTGAAAATTCCGAAGCCTATTTGGGAACCCCAAAAGCGCCACTCGTTGGAATTGGAGTGAGATACCAAAGTTCATCAGAGTGGTTGCACGAGCCCACATGTTTGACCAGTGTTTCCCCTCCCACACCAGCATTGCAAAAGCCCCCACCCACTTGGCCCCTCATGAGGTGAAAAATGCTTCACTGCTCGTCGAATGGTCCACCTGGGCGACGCGTCCACCTGATCCCATCTCCTCCCCCCCTTCTGCTGCCTCTGGCAGGGCATTCCTGGCGAAAATGGAGAAAAAGACTGAGACACGGGAGACTTACTTACTGAGGGGCCAAGAACATCTTCACGTAAGTCAAGGATCTCTTTGGATGGAGTGGTGACAAGCTCATCCCGAAACCGCCTTTTGGGCGCTCAAAAAATAGCCGCCACTCACCTGGTTGAAGACCGATCACCTTCAAAGGCCATGGCCATGGTATTATATGTATATATAATATATATGTAGATAGATTTATTGAATTGTTTTTTGGGTTTGAGGGTAGTGTCTTGATTCTGAACTGCTGAAGCTGGGCACGCAAAAATGACCTGTCGGCCCATGTCAAGCGCTCAGACTCGTCGGAAACCCGGGCCTATCTTCCGCGCGCAAGCGCCTGGGAGCGGAAAAGATATGCAAAAAGCCCCTCAAGAAACCACTTGAAAGTGGGAAGTTTCTTATGTTTATTACGACTGTATTCAATATCCCGTTTTGTTGATATGTGTTGTTGAAAGTGTCAAGTGTCTTCTTATTCTTCTTCTTCTTCTTCTTCTTCTTCTTCTTCTTCTTCTTCTTCTTCTGCTGAGAGAGAGAGAGAGATAACGAACTCTCTTCACCGCCTCCCAATGCCTGGCCAAGCGGGAAGGAAAGACAGGTCTCCCCCCACATGCTGCAGTGGTTCTAGAAAGTTTGAGCCCCTCAACTTGAAGAACTACAGGCCTAGAGGCCTGCTTGCTCTGTGAGGGACTGCTTCCTTCTAAGTGCTCCCATCACAGCAAGAGACGGATCAGCAAAAAGAAAGGATTGCCAGCAACGTCCCTTAAAATGAAGGCAGTTCTCCAAATCCACGTCCTCCTCTCTCCCAGGTTTTCTCCCTCCAGGTCTCCCGAACACCAGAGGCTTCAGGTCGATGGTCCAGGCAGAATCGCCCCCCGCCGACTGGGCGTTCGGTTTTCGGGTCGGACGAGCGCACCGAGCGCGCCGAGCGCGCCGAGCGCGCCGAGCGCGCGGTCCGCGGTGCGTGGATCACTCGCTGAGGAGTTGGTGTAAAACACGGTTCAGGTCTTTCAAGATGAACCTGGGATGGTTGTTGCTGGGAGATGGTGTCTTGCGGCCGCAGGGTGTGGCTATAAAATGGCAGCTTCTAGAGCCCGGGAGCTTGATGTTGTTGACAAACTTGACTCGAAACGAAGAGATTCGGCACTAGACTCGAGGCCAAACGGGCCCGCGCTATGGATGAGGTTTTTTCAGGGGAGTCCAAGCCTATCCCATAGCCATAGCAGGATTATCCCAGTCGAGACTTATCAAAAACCAGGGGCTTCGGAGCTTGACCCCATTCTGCCGCAGAGCGCTCCTCCCTCTTCCCGCCCGGAGCTGCACCCGTGCAGCCGGAGCCTGAGGATTCATAAGCCTTGGCACGAGAAGAAAGTCACACAAACCCAGAGTCTCTGCTGTGGCAAGTCGTGACCGCAACACCTGAGTCGTGACTGCCCGGAAACCATCGGCGACATCTTTTGAAACTAAATGATCCTCCACCCTTTCATGACAATTTCCAAATCTTTCGGCTGAGACCTATACTGTAATGGTTGTTGCTGGTGGCGATAGCTTGTGGAGTTGAACTACCCAAGATTCCCAACAGATTCCCAACCATCACCTGGCTCAATGTGGTCTTTCTGCAGCTCACGCGCCAGACTTGAGCACCTTTTTCGCGTGCTGTGCCACACAAACCATCGAAACGAGCGCCGCTGAAAGCGGCGTTGCGCCGCGCTGATCCAATGGAGGTGATTTCTATCGGGTCAAATCTGTGGAAAGATTGCCAACAGTTGATCATATGATCATATTGTCTTTTCAGAAAAAAGAAAACACAAGTTTGTTTGGAGGAGGCAGAAGAGCTAAACTGTGCTGGCAGCTGCAGTGGCCTTACCAATCACCTATATTTGGACCAAGAAAAATGCTCTCCTTGAGATTTGCCTGGGTTCTTGAGACTGATAGCAGGCGCCCCCCTTCCCCTTAGGCAGGCACTCTGACATGGGGGTTGTCACTGTTGGACCAAAGTCATTGGGGTCACCAAGTCACTCAACTCAGTTGGATTCATGTGCCCAGTCTTCCTAGGGTGCCAAGAACACCGATGCTAAGAAAGCATACCAAAAAGCTCAAAAAATCTGCCGTGCCTTGCAGCAGGTGTGCCACCTTCAAGGTCTCAGGACAAAGCACGAGATGGGCGCCTCCATCGGGAGTCCAGTGACTCTGCGAGACAGCGACGACTGGTTGGTGCGTCTTCCACACGCCCAAAGAAAGCACAAGACGCGGTGGACCGCGTCACGGGCGGCAGGGGAACCCTGGTGCCGGAAAATGTGGAGCATGTCTCACATCTTGAGGAAGATGCCAACCAAATCTTGGTAGCTTTGGTTGGTAGCATCATGATCCCAAAGTGAGTAGAGAAAGTGTGTTCTTTTTGTTGAGAGGTACCATCATTGCGCCCACCTGAGAAGGGCAGACCTTCTCATTCTCCCTTCGTGAGACACACCCACGGGGCGCTGACTGTGCGAACTACCCATCCGCAGTGCAGTGGCATGCTGGCTCCCGATCCACATCAGGGTGTGTCATGGAAGAAGGGAGCCCCCAGTTCAAACAACTCAAAATGTGTGGAAAAAAAATTGTCAAATTCTTCCTGATTTGTGTCATTCTTGTTGAATCAACTCAAACCAGTACTGCACAAGGGGTCCGAAAAGAAGAGACACCCACGACAAGCGATCATCTATTCGGACAGGGAGCAGACATGTGAAATGCTACTGTACCAAAAAGAAAACTACTGAAGAAGCCTCCCACAACTGGTTGTGGCTCAACAGTCGCAATAGTTTCTCACCTCGCTGCTGCCGCCCAACAGCTTTGACCCAATCTTGTTCTTGATCTGTTTATCTGGAACATCGAGAGCCGAGGTGACAATTTGCCACATTAGACTCTGCAAAATCCCACGACGACATGACTGATAGTAGATTCCCTTGTCATATTAATAACTTGGGATGCTTCTTCAAGAAAAAGGTTGTCCTCTGTGCCTTCTAGGACCCGTTCGACAGAAATCAGCCACAGCGAGAAGCGTTTTCGTAAAAATGCTGTAAAACGGCACCCACTGATCTGTGAGCACAAGCATGAGAAGTGTAAGCTGATGTGAATTGAATAACAGCCGTGACTTGGAGAAAATGGACGATGATTCGTTGCTTGAGAGTGGTTACTTAGCTTTTATTATTGCGATTGTCGCATCAAGGAGCAAATGACAAAGTAGAGGATAGGCAGTTTAGCAAAAAAGCCCAGAATTGGGAAGAAGTATATAGCTTTGATGCTGAGCGTTAAACAGGCCAGGATGTTGGATAGTCATCCATAGTCGTATCGAGAGTTCCATACACTTGTGAGTCACTCGCCGTTCGCGCTGAAAAATAGCTGATTCGCCCCAGGTGCCGGCGTTCGCGCTCACACCTAAAAGACCAGATGGACCGACTCTTGTGATGCAGTGTCTCCCCTCCAACGAACTGTGAATTCAGCTAACTCGGGCTCTTCAGCACCCAAATCTCTCGCACGCCGTGGCGGTGGTGGTGGCGGTGGTGGTGGCGGTGGTGGTGGCGGTGGTGGTGGGTGCTGTGGTTGAGTCGGTTTTTTATGGAAGTTGGAAGCAACTACAGAATGGTACTAAGTGTTCAAATCGCACAAAGGTCTGCAGAATCGCAAATCTGTTCGCCTAGTACAGAAGAATACAAGCCTTGTTGAATTTTCATATCGATAGAGGACGAAGCACCATTCACGGAGTCTTGAGGTCTGTAGAGGAAGCGAATGACCACAGTGGGGGTAGATCAAGTAGGTCGTGCCTCGCCAGCAAATCTCCATGTGGTTGCGTACTTTGTTTCTTCCTGGTTATCTTATAGCTAGAAGCCCTGTGATATCCTATCCTGTTAGTTCGGAGTCAGGCAATCAATAACCTGTTTCGTTAACACGTCCGAATCTTCCCCAACTTTGCTTTTTCAGGCAGGACTATCTCCGGCCGGCGAAGCGCTCACCGACAGTGACAAGGTCACACATGTTGAGCAGGTTGCAGGTGCAAAATCGGCCACACACGAAATCGGCGACACTGCAAATCGTCCCCTGTGGGCTTCTGCTGATGCTAATTCTTTGGGCTGCCGAAGCCAAGCAACAGCTGCTGTGAGTCTCCATCGGCGGACGGCGACCACTACCGGACAGAAGAGTAAAGGCAACGAAAAACATTCAGTAGTAAGGTGTGTGTGTGTGTGGACATGTGTATATATGTACATACAGGATATATTGTGTCCTACAGTGTCAAGCTGCATGATTTAAGAGCATATGTATTGGTGATGCCTGCCTGTGACTACCCTGCAACTAGTGTGGAACTGCTTGCAGGTCGGTTCTCAAAGCTGCAAAGCACTTGGATAGAAAGGAAGAACCCCACTTCCTTCTTCCCATCCGGCCTAGGACGCTCTTCCGCCTCAAACCCCAAACATGTGTGGGTGCGGGATCCGCGGCAGGTGCGCGGCCCAGAACCTCTCCCAGCGGCCTGGCGGGCGCAGCGCATTCGCTGCACTTCCTCCGTCCACGGAGCTTCCAGCTCGAGCTCCTCGCTGCCTGGGAGGTGCAGCAGATCGTTCGTTTCAAAAAAGATTCACGGCTTTGGGATGCTTTTGGGTGGTTATGAGTACATTGGGGAGCAAAAAAGATTTTTGGCGGTTTTCTGATAGCAACCCAAAGAATGCTATCAGAATCTTTGTTGGGGGCTTATTCACGGGAACCCCTATTTTTCTTACAAGGATCGCACCAGTTGTTTGACTCGTAAGCACAGTATTTAACAGTATTTATGTTGTTAAAGAACGTCTTGACCCTTGGGGCGCTGGAAACGTAGAACCCTGCTTGTCTCTGCTCGAAGAGTTGCACCATTCTTGTGGCTTGCATAGCCCACGTAGGCCCATGTGGTGTTTCTTGTCTTGTCAGATTTCTCCGGCAACGTGCTGGTGTAAAACCAAACGACCAAACGACCTCACGACGACCCTGGTCGCGTCATCGTTTTCACACGGTTCCGGTTGCTGAACATCGGTGCAAACGACACAAGGGCCGTCGCTTCTTCACTTGGAAGCACAGCAATGAGAACCGTCCAAGTCTTCGAGGATACTTCGAGGATACTTGGAAACCACACGTCTTCAAAACTGGACTCCTGGTCATATTGACTCCTGGCAGTTGCTGAACATGTTTCTACAGATCAATTCTGTTGATAGACATCTTGGAGCACCCGAACGAAATCCGAAACTGGTTACTTACAGTACTCAGCGTGTCTTTAGGCGAAGATCCAACCCTACAAAGGTATTCTGGGTCTGGCATGGGCGAGACATGAGAGACTGTTTCTGCCAGCAACATCCTTTCTCGCAACGACTGCGACGGGTGGCTGATGTGGAGAACGATGGCAGCCCAGCTCCTTCGGTGCTTCTCTTTGTGCTTTCAAAGCGATTGGATAAGTTCAATCGATGTCCTTCTGTCACACCTCTCAAGTCATCTCAACCAAATGTTGTTGCGTTCAGCCTCTGACTGAGCTTAAGTTCTGATTTTCGATGCCGTATGATGCTAGTGATGCCGAAAGAAGCCCTGGCATCATTGTCATCTATTCCAGAAAAGCTGCTGCTGTTGATTGCACTTCTGAACCACTCAAACCGGATGGGAGGGGTGAGAGTAGATGGCACAAGGGCCCCCTAGTTTGGTGGTTGATATGGATCCCCATCTAAGAGACATCTTGGGGTGGACTGGCACCATCTACTCTGAAACACTGGCAACTCCTCAGATCTGTCGTAGAACATGTCTCGACATCTCCTTCTCAGATCTTGTTGCACTCTGCCCCATCCGCGCATGGCGGAAGTACAACTCCTGCACCGATGACATGGTCCGTCCAACGGCGAACGGCACACTGAACCAAACGAGACGGTCGCTTGGAACAAAAACGGTTTCGCTGAACCAAGGTTTTTGCCACGTAAGTGGCAGTTGTGGTACTGTTTGAAGATCGGAAGTAATGTGATTTCTGCGTGATCCGATTTGAGGTTGAATTCCATTTCTGCCACGTTGGGTCGAACATGCAGGCTCTTTTGTTGCCCGTGTCACTCACCGGAAGTTGAAACTGCCGTTTCAACATGCCTTGGCCAAGCTGTCTGCTCTCAAGCAGACCATGTTCCCGATGTTCCGAACGTCCGTGGTGTTTCACGTCCGTGGTGGTTCACAAAAAGGGAAGAGGGTTTCCCATGTAAAAAGGGATCGGTCCCTGGTGCCGGATCGATGAGATCGCCTCCTGGGCGACCCAGCAGAAACAGATACCAACTCCCACGGGGAACTCTCGTCTGGATTCCACCCACGGAAAAGTCTGTCATCCGGAACTCTCACACCTGGATGTGACTTAAGTTACCTCCGACATCCGAAGACTCTCCGAACGAACATGGATGTGAAAAAAGCTACTAGTAACAAGTGCCACGCTAGTAGTAACAAGTGCATCGCTTCTAGTAACAAGTGCCTTACTAGTAGTAACAATGTCTGCTATTAGAAACAAGTGCCTTACTACTAGTCACGAACATGGAAGTTTGTAGAGGAAAATGGCTTTCCTGTCGGGGCCATGCTATCCACGGCTCCCATGTGGTCGTTCCAGGGAGTGTACCATGAAGTCTGTCTCACCCCGGCGGAACGGAGGGTCGTCTCCCCACGGTGGCAGTCGAATACCACCATGTTGGGAGACAAGAGGTGGCGCAGAGGGATGCAGACACCATGTCCACCACTTCAGACACTCCCAGAATTGGTGAACTGAAAAATCTGCAGGAAATTCATCGTTTGAGGGGTGGTTTCACCATGCGTTCTGGATTCTTCGTGTAGTTGTTCAATCGATGTTCCGCACCAATTCCACCAATCCCAGATGACGTCCACGGTGTGTTTTTTTGTGAAATTCGGCACCTGCATGGGACCCTTCTTGTACATCTGCACGGGGATGACTTCACCGATCACGGGCACCTAGACACGGGCACCGCTGCAGGGAACACTTAGTAGTGCAGCAGTCGGCACAGTGACTGGCAGTCTGACTGAAGAGACTGACTGTGGCGCCACACATGACACTCATTTCGAGTGCCTTGATGTGCAGAAGAAATGATGAAATGATTCATTCACCTTCATTGACCACTGCGTGAGTTCGACGCATGCCACGCGTGCGAAGCCATTGTGGCCTGCCCTGAAGCGGTGTCATGTCTCAAGCCATGTAGGAAATTCCGAGAAGTGAGCCTTTCCAAAGAAACCCAAATCTACCACCAACTAAAAAACTGAGGCCACAAGTGTTTTGCACACAACGACAGAACCAAAATCAACCTTTAGAGACCTTTCGGGCTCACTTCGGGGCAGATGGCGAGTTTTACTCCCCCCCTCTTCATACTATATATATATATACCATTATATACCTCTTTGATGTAATCCGGGGACTTGCCCCATGATGCAGGCTTCGGGGCCATCGACCTCACTGGATTTGTCTGGCATGCTTGGTAGATTTTGTTTGGTAAACTTCCACACTGCATTTTGGTTCGTTGAACACACTTTTGTGCTGCTGGCCATTCCGAAATCCATCGTGGTTTCAGAAGAGACGCTACCAATATCAGGTTCCTACAGATTCGACCAGACCCCCTGGGTGTGCCCATACCAACCCCCCGCCACTGCTCGACCCGTGGGGGTGGCCTTCATATCCACCTTCTTGGTGACGACGGTGTAGCCCTTGGTGGGACAATCCCCCACGCGTAGACCTGGTCGACCGACCTATCTCCCGACCTATCGCACGAGCGCAAGACCCGGGTTTCCGGGACTCTCCCGCGGTCGTCATCCGATCTGAGGCCAATCACCAAAGATCAAACAGATGGGACTTTGCGAGACTTCGCTTTCAAAACAGATGGGTGCGCCCAAATCAGATGTAATCCTGGTTCGTGAGACTTCGTGTCCAAACCAACCAGACGCCCAACAAGGCGCTCAAACATGGCATCCATCCATTTCCGCGCGGGAAAAAAGGAATGGAAAGGGCGTAGGAAACGTCCCACCTGCGAAGCGCTTCGCAAAGACCACCCACGCGGGCTGCAGAAAAGCTTGACCACAGTCCACACCTTTCGCTTTGTACATCATCACCTGGGCCGCAGCTTTTTGCTGCCCCCCAAAGGGTTGGACAGTAGATACTGTAGAGTATCTCATGTCCAGCCGCAAAGCCACAAACCCTGCAAACCCCATTCCGATGTGGACTGTTGATGAATAGAACCCATGTAAAAACCCTGGGGTGCCATCTGAATGAAAAAGGGTCCAATCCACCTTATATCACGTCTATTCTATTGCAGGATCCGATCCCTATCCTCCAGGTCTGCTTGAGGGTCGATGTGCCGACGGTCGAAGGTCGACGATCAGACGAGCGTTGGTTGAATCACCCACCTCCCAACGTGGCAAGTGGATGGTCAAGTCTATTCCCGCATGAAAAAATCCAATCAAACGTCAGTCTGTCTGTCTCTTCTTCCAGCTCACATGCAGTCAGCACAAGCACATCCATTTTTAGCTCGCCGCATGTGTCTTCCATCAGTTCTGGCTCCCGCACCGCCCTTCCGGCCCCATCCATGTTCTCATCCAAGAAACGCCCCTCTCAGCGCTGCATGATAGCAGAAAGGAGAGGAAGATCGCCGACCACATGAGATGGCAGACGGACTGCGTAAAAACCCTGCTGCTGAGGGATTTCAGGGGCGGTGATGGTGTCAATCAATGTACCAAGCAGCTGATGAGTGTCTAGCAGTCTGGCTCGAATTTTGCCAACTCTAGGTCTAGGTCTGGAACTGCTCATCAAAAATGTCCTTGATTTCTGCTCGGTGGATGAAATCTGCAGCTTGTTCCCCTTCCCATCGAACGATGAAGGAAAGGCACGATGCAAACCTGCAAACCTGGATATCTTTCACACGTGCCCCTCTTTCTGAAGCAAAGACGCTGCAGAACACCGCCAGGCGGTGGCAAAATGTAGGCGCAGGCGACTGAAGCCCAGGTGGCCGGGGAACGGAGGCTTCACGCGCATCTCAAGACCATCTGGATTGATCGGCCGAGAAGGAGGACGCATGTGACTCATGTGCCTTGGAATTGGAATTTGACCCTTTTGATGGAAAACATGGTGGGTCCCATCCAAGCCCACCCAGTCGTGGTTCCAAGGAGGTCTTCGCAGCGAGAGGCGGCCACGGGGTGAACGGTCGGGACGAGCCTGCCTTGGGCCCTCGATGACCATCGGTTGGAACCCAAAAACCCTCGGGGAATGTCTAGGGAAAGGAAACGGTTCGGATTCCACAGTCAAGTAGAGTTTCTTTCAGGGTCTCCCTGGTGTTGGTAGATACCATGATGGGAAACTGCTAGACTTTTTGGTTGGATCGTCCTCATGAATCCATTCCTTCCACATCCATGCCACGTCCACAAGCCGCTTCAACTGAGCTCCCCAGCTCATCAGCCTCATCGTGGGACCTGTGAAGCGGCAGCCCAATCAACGAGGGGTGATTGAGCTGGCCAAAACGCAGTTTTTGTCGGGACCAGATGGATATAGATGTTGCCGATTATGCATATTGATGTGGTTTGTCTTGATGGATCTCTACAGTAAATGAGTAGATGCTTCTGCATATGGTTTTTCATGAAGACCCTATGCATCGTGTATTTGCAGCTGGCTTTCATGATCACAAGGGTGGGTAGGTGAGCAAAGTATGCATTTTGCAAACACAGGGAAAGACTCTGGTAGACTCTAGCGAAGTCGAGTTTCCTCTGGCTAAATCTAATCCTCCACATCTTCTTGCACAAGACCACTAACAGGAAAAGCGGGCAGCTTGATCGAAATATACAGATATCCTGACAGGTTTAACAACAATCAGGCAACTTGGGTTCATTCCAGCCTGTTTCAGCCTGGACTCACTCTGAGCTCCCAACTCCTGACTAATCTCGTCCGTGGGTTGCTTCCTGGCGCCGCCAAGCGGTCCCAAACAAACTGGTCATCCTCATCCGCATCCAGTGGAGGATGTTTTGGGGCGACCCAAACTCACAATCTATGCCTCTCCGGGAACCTGATTCTCTTCGTCTGAACCTGCGAACCTGCATGAACCTCCACCCAGACGGAACGTGGAAGACTCGGGACCCGTTGAACGCCGCCCTGGCCTCAGGAGGGACCCAACGGACCTGGGCGGAAGGAAGGAAACCCGTCGGCAAGGACGGGTGAAGACAAGATGGAACCACCTCTGATCCTTTTTGCATGGTCGCATCTCTACGAAGAGACCTCATTATAAATGTAATAGAATGCAATATAATATAATATTATATAATATAGTATAATATAATACAATACAATATAGTATAGAATGTTCTATTACACTAAATTACATTACATTACTAATTACTATATATTATTGTACATCTATATATATATATAGAGAGAGAGAGGTATCTCACTCAAATGCTTTGGAAAGGTGACAAGGAGAACATGGACCCAAATCCGCCCTCAGGTGCGGGGTTGAAGAAGAAATAGGCCGACTAATGTAGACTCTGAACTATATTTCAACCCCCTAGGTCTGAAGAGGGGTTGTCAATCCACATGGGAGGGTTTTACTGATCAAGAGTCGACATGAATCGGTTCTCTTGTTCTTTTCCAGGCGGCTTCCAAACGTTTTCACATAGCTACCTGATGTTTCAGCATCTATTGGAACAGACGAAATCGCAACCTGAAGTTAAGCACGTCCTATGCCCAGCCGCATGTAGTGAGAGACAGCATTCCATGCACTTCACATTTGGAGTCCGGATATGAAGAAAACAACATTGCCTTCTTTGGGAGAGCCTTGAATTGGTACTTTTCTGTCCCAATCCAGTCACCATCCTCAGCTCCTAAAATAGCCAGCCACTTCCAAGAAGTTTTCAAAGATGACCTTTCTCTCCCAATGTGGGTTCTCCCTCCGTGCTTCCGCTGTTCACGGACCTGTTCATTCGGCATCCTTCACCGACCTTCACCGACCGAATTCGCTCATGCCCCGGCCGTTGGGATCCTTCGGGGTCCCAGCCAGATACTCTTCCGGCTCTTCTTGGATTCACCGCGCTCCTGCCAACGCGGCGATCGACCAGCGTCGGAACGTCCAGCGTCGGAACCGTCCGCCGCTTCCCTTCAGGGACGAAGGAACACGCGGAGAGGACAGGGTGCCAAGACGCGTGGCAGCAGAAATCCGGCACGGACCAAGCCATCAAGTTCATGTCCAAAAGGGTGAAGGGTGAAACCAAACACATGGGGTGAAAACCACGCACGACTTGAAAAAATGGATAGCGATGCACTCTGTAGGTTCTGTCGTGCCATTCACGGCTCCCACCTCTTCTTCTTTCAGCTTGTGCTTCTGATGTCCCTTTGGGGACGTCAGGTTCAGACCTTCAGCAGTGACCATCTGAACTCATGAGTCTGAACACTCCACACGGCTGCTTGTTGGGGGCGATCCTGGTTCAACTCCCAGAAGGATCTCCCACCCTTTGGCCCGGCGATCCACACGGATCCATTCCGGTTTCATGCGTGGGTCGACACGGGCCTGCGACCTGCTACTAGTCACTCCACTCACCCCGTTCGGTCTGTTTGGCCCAAGCCCCCGGCGGCTGATGATGTTGCCCTGAACACTGGTTCGTCGGCCGTACTTCGCGGCGCGCATGATCTCAGCAGGACAGCAGCGCATCACAGGACGAAAGCACATGTCGGCTAAACAAGTGCTCATTGGTTTCCGAAGATCTCTCACAAGTGCTCCACCTAAAGAATGGATGCCAAACAACATCGAGGTGTTGTTTAAGGCCTCCACCTCTAGAGCTGAAAAAGAACTCCACCTGTAGAGCTGACTGCGGGATCCCATCCCTATGCCCTATGGGCGTTCTGCTTGGCATCCCAGCCATCGCCAAGGACGTTTTGTCATCCCAAGGCTTGGCGTTCTCCAGCTTGAAGGGCCGGGCCTCAACTTCCACCCCACCAAAACGACGAAAAAAAGGGATGACCACATCCCGTGAGCCAGCCTCCGTGAGGATGAAATAATCTCTTGCCACGGATAAAATCCGCATTCGACTGATTTTTTCACTCCGCCTCCCCTTCCACTTCTGACAGAGATTCACAACGGGTCGTTTCCCACTACGGCTGGGGGCTCCGGCAGAGATGGGCCGCGTCTCTAGGGTAAAGAAGGTTTTCACCTTCTCGCTCTCTCCTGCGCGGGAGGTGTTCAGCAACGTTGGAGACGCCCCTCAAAACGAGTCATTGAGGTGGAATGTCGTTTCTCTCTGTCTATCTGCATCTTCAGTTCAAATGCGTTGAATCAAGATTGACTCTTAGAAAAGTAAGATTGGAACATCTTGGAACCACGATTGAGGTGTCTTGAGATGTTTTCAACCTGCACCAGTGGGTGTGTCTCCCCTATTCTTACAGGAAGAAACTCAGGGTCGAAAGCACACTCCCCTCGCTTGCATTCCGTGGCCCCAAAACTCCCATCATCTCCTTGCACAGAGTCTTGCCTCTCGCAGTCATAGAGATACACTGTCCTGGGCCGAGAAAGAATAAGAAACAGGGACGTGGCTCTTGGCTGCCTGGCGAACCTGCCTCTTGCCTCGCAACGACGCCTTGCGAACCTTCGTCCGGCCTTCGGAGCGGTCGCGGGACACGTCGCGGGACGCGGGGACACGACGAGTCGCGGCTGGGCAGGTGTCGGAGGTCGGATGTTTACAGGTCAGGTTCTACGAAACGAGTCCACTCACAGCTCGACCCGGGTGACAATGGCCCCCTGGTGTCGGCTCCTCTACCAACCGACGTGGTTTTCACGGTCGGGATCGTCTTCGGTGTTGGTCATTTTCCCAACGAAAACATGGAAAAAGGATGGAAACAGGTGGACCATCTGTGTCCCCTGATTGGGTCGAACCTCCAACCATCGACGTCTTCACGGTTCCGGACCTGGTCGGTTCCTCTCTCCGGTGGATGCACCACGGACCGGGTCGGCGCGGGGTGTGGTGAGACCTGAGGAGTGAAGATCATCGTTGGCCGAGCTTGCTACTGCGTGTCGCATCCTTGAGGAGTGAAGATCAAGGATGAGTGTCGCTCAGCTCCAAGCGATGGGTGAAGAAAATGACCAGGCACTTCTTGGGAAAACGAAAAAGATCGATCAACAACCTGCAGGGGGGGTGGCCCTTTTTGGCTCAAGATGGCATAAGGTTCGGTTTCTTCCTTGATGTGTTCTCCTGATTTGGGTGAAAATACCAGATTGCTTGATCAACCAAAGCACTTTCTTTCGGATTCTTGGGCTCCAGACCCCCAAGTGCCCACCTGCATGGTGCCTTTGTAGGTCGCCACCTTCTCACCATTGGCCTCCAACCACACCACATGCCAAAAAGCGCGTCTCCGCCGTGCAAAACGATGCCTACCTCACCGTGCGGAGTCATCGGTGTCACAACTAGGTCGAACATGATGAAAACATGATGAATCCTCGATGGCCCACTTGTCCCGCTCTTTCTTGACAGCCGACAGCGTCGTGTTTTTGGGGGCAGGGTTGGACCCTGGAACACCAGGGTTTCAGGTGTGGACTTTAGACCCATTCAGAACAAACTCGGGAGCATTCAGGAGCCACAAACCTGGGTTCGTGGTAGCGGTGCAGAAACCAAAGCACTCGCAGAGCATGGAACTCACTTCCCACATTCCGAATGGTCCAATGAGCGCTCGTGCGAGCTTGAGCTTCTTTTTGGGGCCTGTCCCATCTCGGTCACCATCATCACATCAGCAGTGATGATGAGCCTCAGAACAAAGGGTTTGAATCCTCAGAACAAAGGCTCTTGGGTTTCGCAACCTTCACCACCTGAGAATCACCGACCTTCGCCGACCTTCGCCCTACCGTACGTCACCGACCTCACATAGAAGGTCAAGTCGCTTCTTCAAATGAGTCGATAAGTGTTTCAAAACACATCCGATCATTCCCAGACGCCTTGTAACAGTGTGGTTGCCTGCTCCTCACCACATGTCCCTCGCAAAGAAGAACAGGACAGCTTGATATCAATCAACGCCCACACCGAACCACAGGGACTCCCGGGCTGGTCGCCCTTCCGCCGCCGCTTCTTGTCGTATTCCAAGTAGAAGAGCGCCTGGGCGAACGCCAACACACGGACGCCCATTCGGGGTGCCAACTGCATGCGCACAGTGTCGCTCGGAGGCTCCGTCTCCCAAGTGATCGGACCGAAAGAAACCAGTCCCATGTTCTTCAGACCTCCTCATGTTCCAACCGCTTCCCCACTCTGGCGGTTCCCCCCCAAACGACCCGCCTGCAGGAAGCCTTCTTTGTTCAGCACGCGCCATCGCCTAAGGGCGAGCCCACGTGGCGGCGAGAGCCAGCGAGGCAACGGCGAATCGACGAGCGGCAGGAGCGAGCGAGGCAGAGAGATCTTCTCTGCGGTGGATCGAGGGCTTTTTCTTTGGACAAAGGAGCCATTTGAGCCCCAAGTAGGTTGACAAAGCCCCAAAAAAATGGGAGATCGGTTTAAGCAGCAGCTGAAGACACAAGAAGCTTCGAAGCTTCTCCCGTTCATGTGGATATGTATGGCATTTATGGTATCCTTCGTCTCATGCATGGTATGCATAGACGATGGTATGGATTCACTCCGGCTTCGCTCCTACCGCCAACTGCACCGCTAGGTGTCGGTGTCGGTCCCCCGGCAGCGCGAGGCGGACTAATCGAGTTTTTGTTGATGTGCTCAGGTTTTCTTTGGAAAGGATCAAAATCAAGGGGTTTCATGGGACGCACCCGACCTATTCCATCAACGTCCTTCTTGAGGTTTCAGATGTTCTCCTTTCTGAGATTCCAGATTTGATCTTCTCCGCGATGACATCAAGCCGTGTGTGTGTGTGTGTGTGTTCAAATTCAAGCCGTTGTGACGCCTTGCGGGTTCCTCACTCCTATCTGAGTCCGCCGGCATGGTTCGAGCTTCATCTTCGATGCCGGTGCGCGCCTTCCGTTGCTTGTTTTGGTTCTTGCCTCAGCTCCACTCGCTCACAGTCGATCTCGGAACGACCAGAGCGGTCATCGTTTTCCGGTCTGACCTGACAGTGAACATCGGTTGAACCCGTGGTGGCAAGAGGATTCCTCTTAAAATAAGGTGATCTGTCAGTTTTGCTAGTTAATCGAGGGATAACTCACTAGAAATCTGTGTTAAGGCATGAAACTTCATAAGACAAATCAACAGCGGTTGATGGAGATTGAGTCAACAGGGTCTTCCCTATTCAACCATGACCATGAAATTGGGTCTTGCTCTGTCTGACAAAGCCTCTTCTCAGAAGGGTACTCCTGATGACAAAACATCCACCCGGCGGCATGTCTTTTGGTCGTTTGAATGCATGACACGTTAGCATTGCTTAGCAAGTAGCTTTAGCTGGGGTGTGCTTTTTTGCTCTTGAATCCCTTTGACATTCAACGTTTTTGGAAAGGGCCACCAATTCCATGATAAACTCGAACTGGTTGGACAAGTTTGACTGTAGGTGATGCAAGCAATATTGCAAATGTCTTAGTAATTCTTGCATCATGGATGGTTGTCCTTGGGATCAAGTCAAGACATCTGTCAGTTCCGAGTTCTGGGGCAAGAAGCTACTCGGAACCCGGCAGCTATTGCTACTAGTAACAAGAGGCATCGCAGCTATTGCATGTGTGGAGGACGTTTCATCCATTGCTGGATGGTTCCAAACAGCCGAAGCAACAGAGAGGTGGCTTAGGGTGGCGCTAAGCGCCAGCACGCACGCGTGACCCAAGTGCTGCTGAGAGACGTCGGCAGGGGCAGCATTTGATCTTCCTCTTTTTGACCTGTTTCGAAGATCTGGATAGGAATGGGTCAGAAGACTATCTGTGAATCCCTCTCAAACTACAGTAACTACACAATTACACACTTGAAATCTCAATCGTTGATTGTGACTAAAGAGGGAAAGTCGCCACCACCGTCCTGCCGACCACCGAAAAATGCCTTCCTCTTTTAGCAGAAAAAGCGAGGTGGACGACATGCTTCACCTCTCGGTTTGTCTTTAGGAAGACATTGAGGTGGAAAAAACAAACCGAAGGATGCCTTCTCGAGATTATGCTTCACCGCTCTCGGCCTTCTCGAGATAGACCTCCAAATAGATCCCTCTCCAATCGGCCACCGAACTTGGTGTCCATCCCCTTAGGTCGGGCACAAGCAATGCACAAGCAATGCCAAGCACGTGTCGGGATCCATTTAGAGTGATCCCCAAATAGATAGTGGCACGGTTTCCAATACCATTTTGAGTGGGGATCTACTTTTCTGTCTATTTGGGGGTCTATATACAAGCTTCTGAAATGGAGCGTAGGATGTTTTTGTTGCATCACACCAATCCCCGCTTCGACAAATGAATCTTCAGATCGACAAGACAACACCTTCAACCCCGCAGGGAGGCCGACAAGACAACACCTTCGCAAATGGTTGATGTCTGGTCATTTATTTCACTGCAATCTGGGCAGAACAGACCTCCCGGGAATTTCCGCGATTTCCTGCGACCCCATGACGAGTTCTGGTCATTTGGGGCGGCTCAAACTGCCCTTCATTGGAGTCATGAAAATATCCGACGCAGCTCCACTGGCGCCAGTGGCTGAGCTTCCCACTGTGCCTCAACCTGGTAGGGCACCCGGGGACGAGCAGGGCACTGCGGTTCTCAGAACTGACCATCGGTATCACCACTGCAGAAAACACTGGTTAGAAGTGAGCAAAGTCAGTGAAAGAGAAGAAGAATTCATTGAATTCCTTTTTCTGCTCCTCTGCAAGTGGCAAGGTGGATCCTTCAATTTGGAGCTGCCGTCCGTCCAAACACTTTGCCTGCGAAAAAAATCTAAAAAGAAGACCCAGAAGAGGCCGCCTCACTTTGTCAACCCGAGGTGCCTGTCCGTCAGGCCCACCCGTCCCCTCCCCCGCCGAAGCCAGCTGCAAGCTGCGCCTGGGCGATCTCAATCTGAAGAACCATTCGAAGCTCACTAAACCTGCTGCGGCTGGGGGAGAACGAGTGGAGACGCCCTGAGTGTCTTTTAAGAGGGAGACGCCCTGGCCTAAGAGGTAGACTGGTCGATGTGGGAAACTTTTCATACATGGGCCCATATGAGGAAATGAGTTCTAACTGGCAGTGCTTACCTCAACCCGACGAGACAAGGTCGCCGTGGTGTCAAGAGGCGCCACGCTGTGGTGACGGTCAAACAGCTGTGGTGCGCCGCGAGGCCCACAACACCCATGAAACACGCTGTTCTGAAGCGTCTGTTCCACCAATCAAGTCATCAAGTCATACACCTCATGAACACCTCAGACGGATTCAAGAGTCCCACGCTGAATAGGATTTGTAAATGCTGAACAAGGGGAAATCAGAATGTATGACAGAAGGTGGATAGCGAAGGATCAGGGGCCTCAGAAGGTCTTTTCATCATACTGAGAACGCCCCGTTGTTGTTCCAAGACTCCAAGGGAAAGAACTCTCTGTTGTTCACGAGTCTTCAGTTTTGCACCTGAGATTCACCTCACTCTTTGAATCGACCAATGGAATGGAGGCCTCCCAGTTTCAAAGATAATGGTTCAAGTCTGTTCAAGTCTTTGTTGGTTGATATCGGTGGTTGATGTTCCAAGCAGGAAGAAGAAATCCTCCTGCAACCATGTTTTGACGTCATCCCCACAAGCCCAAACGCACCTCCTTCGCCAAAGACAGGGTCATGGCTACGCCATCGAGTCCGGCGAAGTGCTTCAAGAGATTTTTGGCGGTGCTCTGCTCTCACGAACTGAACTGGGCTGAGGTGCTGGCTGAGGTGCTCTGTTGGCTGGCTGAGGTGAAAAGCCAAGTGGTCAGTCTTCCAAAGCCCCCAGCTGCTTGGCGCCCAATCTTTTCTCTTGGGCGCCGGTGTGGCGCAGGAAAGCTTGGAAATCGGCGCGGCGGTTTGGTTCGGGATCCGGCGGTGGGAGAAGTCCAAAGGGAGAACCGTGGTTCGCAATAGCAAATGAAGCTAAAGAAGCCTGGCGTCATCTGCGAATTCGCTGGTTCTTGCTCTTCCCAAGACACAGGGAAGGCGCCTTACCACCAGGCTGTTGGCCTAGGAACTTGCCAGAATTGCCCAAAGATACGTTTGACCCCGGAACACCTGTTCACCTTCTTGGACTGTAAACTGAACATGGTCTTCCATATAGCCCCAAATGTCTTTAAAAAGAATGTCTTCGGACTTGAGATACTCCCCAAGCCAAATCGCTTGAGACAGGAGAGTGACCAGTGACCAGTGGAAACTGGACCAGGTCCGTCTGCCATGAAGTAGATCTTTGCCATGTGCGAAGCTCATACAGCACAAAGCCAGAATCTGTTTCAACATCGACTGACAGAGAAGGTCAACCCCCCTCTCTCCCCCCATCCAGGTCTTGTGGGGGCAGCTTACGTCCGGCGACTATTCTCCTGGCGACTACGTGGAGGACATGGCCACCTACTGCGTGAATGTAGTCCGTCCTACAATTGTCTTACATGCAAACAGAAGGCGTCACAAGGTCGCAAACAGGAGGGATTGGTCTGGTAGATTTTGACTTGGATTTGGGCCGGAGCCTTGTCTCTTGGAAGCTCAAAAGGGTTCGGGTGGAGCAGTGGTGCAGGGTGACGACAGAATCTGTCAACAATGGGTGCACCAAAGCCGAAGGCTTGGTTTGTTCAGCACGCCAATCAGGTGTTTGTCAAATGATTTGGATGTATGAACATGTCCAAAAGCCCAATGGTTGACCCACAATTCAGCCATCTGGGTTCTCAACTTGCTTCCCTTGGCACTAGGTGGGACAACCAGTCAGCCACATGGGAATCTGATCTCATCAACCTTTGATTTCACGCAACCTGCTTTGGGGAGCCTTGCCATTCAAGGTGTCTGCCTGCGTGTTTACTACAGAGTTTTCAGAGTACAAAGAGCGTTGGCAAGACACCCTTCACTTCAGATGACAATCCTCAAAAGGTGATTCATGTGGAACCCCATCTAGAGGACATTAGGGTCTGTGCCATCTACTCTGAAACCACTGTAACGGCCATCGCAGAAAGAAGAGATTTCATCCAACCACCATCTTCAGCTGTCTCCGCCCCTTCCCCCCTGCAGCTCTCGCTCCCAGACATTCGCTCCTTCGTGTCCGGTCGTCCACACTTGTACCGCACTCCATCACCTGCGCGTCGGCGGTTCTACCGTGGGTTTTCTAGACTGGAAGAGACACCAAACACACCAAAGGTTCTGAGTGACCTCTATTTTAGACCACCCGTCAAATGGGTTCTAGGCATCCAGCGCCAGAGATGAAGCCAGAGACCAGCACCCCTCCCACTGGATCACCTCTCCCCAGCGCCTCCGGAGATTTGCTCCAGAGCATCGATGCAGCCCTTCACCACTCGCCTCAAGACTTCACCATTTGCTCCGATCTCTTGAGATGTTCACATAGGCCAACCAAATGCTGGTAGAACACGTGGTTTATAAAGCTCGATGTTCAATTATAAATTTTTAAGACGGGTCGACGCCTTTCAAGCCATAGCTGCATAGCTTGGTACCCGCTAGGTGCCCCGGCCAGTTCTTGTCCTGCGCAGTTCATGAACAGTTCATCCACAAACTGCTCCGCTGCATATGGATCACACATGGGAAGAAGCTCCATTGGCTTCCAACGTTGAGGGGTAGTTCCTCTTCTTACTCGGGCCATGCTTCTCTTCAATCTTTCACTGCAAGCACTGAACAAAAGGAACCATCTGACATCGTCAAGGATCATCCAGAATCCTCCAAACCTTCAGCCCTACTGTCTGGTGTGGCGCCACATCTGGCTCCTGCCGAAACAGCACGTCCAGGTGGTCCGGTGGTCCGCCCCGTCTTCCGCCGGTGGAGCTCCGCCTCCAGCAACGGTGCCAGGCGTTCCACGTCCGCCACCGTGGAGCCCATGACACCAGTCGCCTGGGAAAAAGGCGTTGCGCAGTTGATTGGTTCAGGTGATGGAACCCTGAAAGTTCCCTCCAAGCTCCAGATGTGAGAAAAGTTGGGTAGAGCTGCAACGAGCGGAACCTATCTCTGATGATGAACTGTTTTGTGAACTTCCTGGGAGGAAGAATTCCGCTCCTTAGACCTAGTGCGGCGTCAATGATTCCCACTTTGGATGCGCCACCCGGAGCTTCGCCGCTTCGCCTCATCCACCCCTGATGAAGCCGCAGAAAGCGGAACGCTTTCCCTCCACCGACGTCCCTCCTTCCGTCTCCGTCTTTCCCCCATGAACCAGAAAAAGAAAAAGAAAATACACAGAAAGACCCGCCTCCACCGGAAGCCACACCACCTCCCGTTCTCCTCCATTCGTTCGCTCTCTCCCCCCCCAGAGGATACCCCGACGGACGAGACGACGCCTGGCTGGCCAGTGCCCGGACCTCAGGATCCTCGTCCTCCAGCCTCGAGTAGAACTCCGCCCACGGTTACGAGCATACGACCGTGAAACGGTTTCGTTGAGGGGGGGGGACGGAGGGAGACGTCGTTTTTGCAGGACCTGCCTCTTGAGTTCGATACTGTTAAACATTGAGGGTATCCACTTCAGGGTTGCCCTCTACACGAGTCAACCGCCGGAAGGGGCGGTTGAGCACAGAACAAAACTCAACAAGACTCCAATCAAAATGAGACCTGCAAGAGAAAGGGAAGAAGTCTGTTTCGAGCTGGTGAGACCAGCGGAAGCATCTGTTGAATGAGTTTTCATCAAGATCAAGATCCATTTCTCTGACGGGGTTGAGAGTTTTGCTGAGGAGGGCTGACAAATTCCATCAAATGCCAAGCTGCTTGCGTTCCGACAGAGTAGGATTAATTGGTAAGGTGGCTAGCAGATGTTGAGTTTGATGTGAAACCTCATGTTTCACGGTGATCTCAGATCTCAGCTCGGTCAAATATGGGAGCTGAGATGGATGAAGAAGTTCGGTCATCGGACTTCAGAATTCATCGCTGATGAAACACAACCTATTGAGGACCTCGTAGTGTAGCACGATCTTTCCAAGGCAGGAGCTACTGGGATCATGGAGAAACACCCTTGTCAGAGCCCATTGAGAAAATCCTCGCTTCTTGGGATCTCTACGACTCTACTTCACGTCTTCATGTCTGTGAATCTACTAGTTTCAAACTCAGACTTTTTGGCTTGGGAGTCAAAAACCCAAGTTTAATCCGGTTGGATTCCGTACCCTCTACCAACATGGAACCAAAAATGGTTAATGGTTTCCCAATGTTCATCTACAAGAGGGACCTTGTTGCTGTGGTCCTTGGACAAACATCTATACTTCACTTCCAGTCACTAACGTGGAAGTGGAAAACACCTGTTTGTAGAGGAAACCTGTCATGCAAGGGGCCATTGTCCACTTGCATGATTGTTTCAGGGAGTGTATACCTTGAGTCTTAATGTACCCCTGTCAAAAATCTTGGAACGGATCTGAGACGAAACTTGGTTCCCACATCTATCGCCGCAACACCACTCTAATTAGGTTGAAATCCCTATACCGGCCGAATTTTTCTGACCTGTTGGAGGATGGTTAACTTAGGTGTCTAAGGCTTTAAGGGCTTTGCCCTTTGGCCAATTCAACCAGATCCTGGGGGTGTCACATGCTCGCTCTTCCACTCAGCACTCTCCAGCACCCTTGAGTGAGGCAGCACTCTCCAGCACTCTCCAGCCTCCCGGTGCGGACCCTCCGGTGCCATCGCTTCGACACCCCCGGCTCGGTCCTTTCGGCTCTCGGTGCCCGACGTCGCACGGCCGCCTGCGCCCTTTTTGGCTGCCTCAACGGCCCGGTTCAGGGCCAGAAACGTTCCAAGTGGGGTGAAACTGGGCGCCGGTTCCTTGGCACACGCGATGGATGCCAGCGGATGCGACGGGATGAGAGTCGCGGATGCCAAAAAAATAAGACACCGCGGATGGCGGCCGATGCATCGCGGGAACGGGGAGGAATTCCGAACTACTCATGATCAAGGGTTGGATGGGTTGGGGTTAGGTTGGGTTAGGTTGGGCAAGCCCACGAGGTCAGAGGGAGGATAGGCACCTGCCTGTCAAACTCAGGCATTGGCTTGAACCGTCTTTTTGTTCAAAGACTTGTGGATGGAGAACTGAGCCGCCAGAGCCTGATGACTGAATATTGGACTCTGTGAGAGCATCAGCTACAGAGCGTAGAACTCACAAACTGATTCAAGACATTACCATGCTCACCGTGATATGATGTGCATGAGTAGCCAAGTACTAGCAAACATAGTACAGCTTCTGCGAGTGGACAAAAAAGTTGGTCACCCTGGGTCGATCGTGGTCACCCTGGATTGATCATTTCTCTCAAGATGTGTGGTGAGGTGAGGTGTCTTGGTTCTGCCAGTCCAATGACTAGGCCAACAAATCATCTAGCCCGTGACAAAGAACTCGTACGAAGCTCCAAGGCAGACTTAGACTTACTGGAACTTGTAGAAGTTCTGCTCTCCATTCACAACATGTTCCACCCTACCAGGACTAGCGGCATGTCCACCGGATTCTCAGCTGAGTTATCGAGTCGATGAGTCACAAGATTGGTGCCTGTGCGCGAACATGGAGAAATCTGGAAATCTGAGACAGGACCTTTCAGCCTGAACATAGATCTTTGCAAAACGTGCCTCTATGTTCTAAGACTCTCAAATGCATCTCAGACAAAAAGCAGTTCCTTGTCTTTTTTCCTTTTTGCCATACTATGCCATATTTACAGTATGTTGCCTGGGCTGGGAGACAAGGCCTTGCAGCTTCTGGCTACATGAGTGATGGACAAAATCTCTGGCTAGACTTCGGGCCTGCTCACTCCTTCCATTCTGAACCAACCAGGGGGGCAAACTCAAGCCACAGATTTGTCCAATCCTCATATCCACGTCTCCCTATCTCCCTTTCTTTGGGATGCTGCTGGTACCCCTCAGTCAAGCTAACATGAAAATGCTCCATGGTGCGTAGCGATGACACTGGTCCTTGGGGAGCTGCTTCCCACTTGCAGCTTTTGCGAACAATCGAGGAAGACATCAAGCGATCAATCGACAACTTGAAACCTGAAGAAAACTCTTGGGCCCGATGCACAGATGTTCTTCGCTTCCCTGTGTCTCCATGAGAGAGGTTCGATCGTATCAAGAAGTGTCAGCCAAATCAGTTACGTGCTTTTTTGGATGCTTTTCAGGGTGTCTTTGCCTTGCTCCGACTTGTTCCCGCCAGCCTTCATCGCTCCTGCAAATGGGGAAATGTCTGATTCATCGGAGGATCTAACGCTTGGGGTATTGGAAATGATTCTGTCGCACCCATACTGGAGATTGGTCATCCTCAAACTCTGCTTGAACATGGTGCTTGAGCATGGTGCTTGAACACGGTCCGACAAACATCGGGGCCTTGTGGCAGCCACAAAGATCGGAGAGGTTTTTTCACGGGCTCCTCCAGCGCCAAGCCCAAGGCCTCTTCCAACTCCTCGATTCGCGTCTCCAGCTTCGGGGCCAAGAACCTGTCGAGGCTTCGGGGAGGCTTCGGATCCTCCTTTTCGAAGGAAATCGCAGACCACAGAGAAGGAGCGAAGAAGTGGGAAAGTGGAGTGGGATTAGTTCGTTTAATGTGGTGTGTGTGTGTGTGTTTAATTATATAACAGAGAGAGAGAGAGAGTGTGTGAGAAAGTGAGAGGAAAGGGAAAATACAACAGTACTGTATCAACCATAAAGCAAGTGTTTCTGCAGCACACTCGCTCTGCGAGTGATTTCTCCATTAAGCAACCCCCGCTCCACCATTTAGAATTGTTCTTTGTCCTTGTGGGCTTCGTTCCCCAAGATCGAGCCCATCTCCGTCAAGCAGGCAAAGAACTGAAGACAAGGACCCCCCACTCTCCTTGTCTTGATCATCTAACTCAGACCATAGATCCTCCCAAACCACCCAACCATCTCAATGCCACAGAGATTCAAACCCCGTTCGGTTGACCAGTCCAGGTGTCCGGGCTGCGGAGGAAGCACCTCCGCTGCGTGCGTTGGAACCGGGACACCACGGGAAGCAGCACGGTGCCAAGCGGCCCAAGTAGGAAACAAAACAAAAAGCAAACAACAAAAGCACATAGAAACTGGAGGGGGTCAGCATCATCTATCTATTTCAGGATTGTGTTTTTGGCATTTAGGTATTTGGTGCATTTGCCTGACTCATGCGCGTTTGCGGTCTGTCTTTTACCACAAAGGTGACACCAAACACCTGTGGGGTACAGGATCGTTCTCGTGACGCGAGGCTGCCCGTGCTGGGCCTGCAGTCGCTGCGCATCGGGCCGCCCCCCGTCAACCGGCTGGCGCCGCTGCGCGGGTTCCCGGGTGGTGCGGAGCTCTGGCGCCTGAGCGGATGGAGAGGCATCAGGCTTGTGGAGATTGCTAAGGATACTCTCCGTTAAATAGAAACGGAAAACCACCTGTTTGCAAAGGAAAATAGTTGACAAGTTGTCTGGGTTCCGCAGAAATGGCACCAACTTGACTACGAAAGATGATGCTGGGAATCGAAGGGGACATCAACTGCACTGAACCCTGGATATTTCTGGATTCCCTTCTCCATCTTCAAAAGCATACCAGGCCACGCACCAACAGCATTCAGTTTGAAAGAACTCTCCGTGTCGATTCAAATCCAACAAGAAGTCTCTGGCATTTCCAAAAAATAATCGACTGCCCAGCATCATCAAATTGCCCTCCCAAATTGCCTTGCCCGAAGGTCAGACGTTACGTCTCGAAGCGCGTAGCGTTAAGTCTCTGGCCTTCGAAGGGAGTCCCAGTCCGGGCCCACCTGGAGTCGGAGTCGAAGAAACGTCCGGTGCACTGGTTTCGAAGAAACGTCGTAGGCACAATTGAAAAAATCATTGAGTAGATTTAATAGGTTCTAAATCAGACATGTAACTGCAGTACTAAAGTTATAATGTTTAACATGGTTCAACTGGAAAAGAATAGATTTTACAAAAAAACGTTGTCTAGTCACGGTGCCTGAAGAGGCAGCGGCTTGACTGCAAAGCGCTCCCTCTTTTGGGCATGTGTGGGTCTAGGCTCAGTGAGCTTGTGCGGTGAAAAGCAAGGAGAAATCCGAGGTGTCCCAGACTCCTGTCGTTCATATTGCCTGGCTTGCCTGGCTTGGTCGGTAGAAGTGAAAGTCTATCAAGTACTGTAGACTCCACAAAGTCAGGAATCCCAAAGATTGAAAAATCCTTTCTCAGAGACACCTATTTAGGTGACTCAGTCAAGCAAAAAAGAGCCTCAGTCTGAACTCACACCCGCCACATCACCCTCAAGCCTTCGGCTGAGGAGGAGAAATGGGGCGCAAGTGGGCCAGGAGCTCCTCGATCTTGGAGTCCAACCCACTCATTCCTTCCATTTTGGCTTCCAACTTCCGGAAATCCTCACGAAGGCGCATGCTTTGCCGAATGCTGCAGTGTTGAAACCTGACGGATGATGCCGACTCTTGCTGCCAGCCGCTGAGGAGTTTTACCAACTCTGCACTCTTCACAGCAGAGTCGGAGCCACTCATAAAGTTGAAGAGGTGGCGTAAATCATTCTCATCCATGTCCAACACACGCAGGAGGCGCTGAAAAGCTGCAAAGCTGGCTGCACCTTCTAAGAGCTGATCCAGGGTAAGCTCTCCGGTCCCTTGGTCCATGTCGTCAAGGATGTTTGCCACCACCTTCTCCTTGATCTCCGGTCCCTTCGACTTGTATATCACCACAAAGGCGCTGACCAACACGTTGATCAAGTGGATGAGAACGCAGAGCATGGAGGCGATGAATACACTCCAAGTTCCCGGGTAGAGGCGGATGATGATTCCCGCCACACCCCACTCACCTGGGACCACCAACTCGAAGATAAGCAGGGTCGCACTAAACACCGTGGTGGGACAATGATCATGGCACTCGAAGCCATCGTGCCGAGTTCCCTCACTTTCCTTCAAAGGGAGGTACACAACTTCAACCATCACCATGGCCCAAGCAGTCATCTGCAAGTACACCTCCATAAAGCCAAAGCACAACTGCACTACAGCCGCCTTTTTGGGGATCAAGGATGCGTTTCCAAGCCCCCGGATGCTCCCAAGAAGTAGAATGATCCTCCCGACCTCTACGATTGGCCGAGCAATCGAGAAGCCGAACACCATCTCAAGGAACCCAAATAGGACTGCTGAGAGGTGCAAACGGAAGGTCCAGTTGAAAACCATGCTTCTGGGGCCAAAGCAAAGGAGCTCCATCAGCACCTCACAGCTTTGGAAGACCAGGCACACAGACATCAGGATCAAGAATTCCGACGAGTTGCCTGCGGCCCTGGCATCCAGCTCAAGTATGTGAAAGAGGACGTCACAATAGGCAATAAAACACATAACGATTTCCCACCAATAGCTCCTTAAGAGGCCACTCAATCTGCCACCCTTCTGCGTCTTCATCTTCATTGAATCGTCGTTTGGCGCCACCTTCATTTGGCAAAAAGGTTACGCAAAAGGACAAATTGGACTCCGGACTACAAAAACTGAACCCAAATGGCTTGAGCAAGGTATTTGGCCTAAACTGCGAGGATCATCCGTGCAGGCTGCCACTCTGTCTGGCATATTATAGCACAGTTTCTTTGCTCTGAAAGAACTGCGAACTTGCTCAAATCGACAAATCAACGCTTAAAAACCGAAGACTTTGCCTTCTCCAAGGTCACGCCCGAAACCGCCGTGTGTTTCGCCATATGTTTCGCCCTTGCGCGGTGCCAGTGAGCGTGAGCTGATCTGGGGCACCCCGACACCAGGGCGTCAGCGTTTGCCCACCCCCCTGGGCAGCCACAGCGAAGTGACGAAGTGATTTTCACCGAAGTGACTCTTTTAAGACAACCAATTGAGGCCCCCGCCCGCGTCTTTCGACCTGGCAAAAAGCGGTGGTTTGGATTTCATATCAACTACTGACATAACTTAACTCCTGGTTGTACAACACATATCCAAGGGCCAATCCAATATGGATGGAAAAGAACAAGTGGACATCAACCATGGACATCCAGCATTCTGTGACAGGTCACCATATCAGCTGCTTGGGGAACCCAGTCATTCCTGCTTCTTCAATTCACCCAGAGTGGCCAGGTTTAGAGCGATTACAGTAAAAGCCTATAAAAGCCCAGAAAGCAAAACATGAGGACGACGACAAGCAGAAGAACGCACTTCCACAAATCACTGGTAACCAGCTGAGCGAGTGTGGGCGGTACTCCTCTGGCTGATCATCCATTCTTTGCGAAGAAAAAGCTCCCCACGTGGTGACAACTGCGTGACGCTACGAAGTCATAGCAAGTTAGAAAGGTCGCACGTTTTGCACACGGTCAGGCTGTCGAAAAGAGGTCGAAAAGTCTCCCCAGCCACCATCACCACGGCTCTTCTTAATTTGGTTCAGCAGTCCTCATGTATTCACGGTCAGAGGTTCATCAGTACCAGAACCACTCCAACAAAGCCAGGAGCCAGGGAGTAATCCAAACCAAACCCTTTCTCAATGGTCAAGTCCCCACATCAAGAGGACCCTCAGGTCCCTCAGGATTCCATTTCACTCCCACCCATCAGCACCCACCGTCACGGGAGTTTACCACGGCCGGGCCTCGAGCTGGTCGTGCTTTGGCCACCTGCGCCTGGCGGAGCAGGCAGGGCAAGAGTCCAAAGTGAAAATGGTGTTCTCCCATCTAACTCATATGACTCATATGACCGGCGCATGTCATCCTGTTGCTCTGGAACCCCCCGTGAGCTTTCAATCCAAGCGTCGAAGCCGATCTGGAGTGGCCAGTGCAAGCCTTCAAAGCGGGTCCAGCCTTCAAAGCTGCGTTCTCCTTGGCTAAACACTCCAGGCGATCCAGCTGCTCCTGGCAGAGCTGGCCGGATGTCCGGTGCGTGCGCGGTGGATCTTCACTGCACCTGCTGCTGGTGGATCTTCGCCAGCAGGCCATGACGGTCGACGACCTCGCAGGTTTCGGAGAACGAAGCCTGGACAATTGGAGAGATCTATATAATATATGTCTTTGAGTCAAACTAAGAGAACCGTTTCCTGAGTTCTCCCGTATCCCGTTTCGCATCATTTTAGGGCTTGGCTTATTTAAAACTGTGCGAACGTCGGACAAAAAGGGCTCCGATCCAAAAACGTGTGCCTGTTCGACGAAACGAAGAGCAAATCCGGGCCCCGCCTGAGCTTCTAGAGCTGCGATGCGATCAAGCAAGACCTGCTCCAATCCACCTTAGAGATCCATCCACCTCGACTGGACCCCTTTTTGGGAGTTGGAGGTGGCCATCCAACGAGAACAAGAACATCCACCATGATCACCATGACCTGACCCTCCTCCTGCTCACACCCGGAAAGGACCAAAACATCAAGCAAAACAGAAACATTGGGGCGTTTCATGGCGTTTCTCCCCGTTCTCCACTTCGGAATGCCAAGACGGGGACCGAGACCTTCCGGAAGTGGTGCCGGAGTGCGTTCCCGCAGTCCCTCCTCCTCGGCGCTTCCCTCTTCCCCTGCCGCCAGTGTTTCTTTGCCAAGACCGGGAGGAAGGTGGGAAACAGGAAACACCCGGGACGAAGTTCTTTTTTTCTAATCGACCTAATTTGAAATTTGGACTTAAACAATTAAGTACAAGTAATTGCGATGGCCTCCAACCTAATGGGAATGGCCTCCAACCTACTAGCGATGGCCTCAAAGCTACCGCTTGCGATGGACTCCACCCGCAAAAAGGAGCGCCGGCTTCAAGTCGATGGCATCAAAATTTCAAGTCGATGGCATCAAGTCCAAGAAGTAGGAGGAAGAGTTGCAACAAGAGTCCTCTCCACTCTGGTGATCTCTGAAAAACGCCATGTTCGGAGAACAAAGTGACGCTTCACCTCAGTGGGTGGGTGGTCTTCGATTGTTCAACTCCACCCACTCGCCCCCAGTCACTCACTCGCCCCGACCCACCTGGGGAACTCCGCATCTGGTCGCGCGGAGACTCTGGCACTCCTCAGGGGTGTGGAGGAGTTGGTCGCTTGGGCTGGGCTGTTGTCGTAGCCCAGCGTTTCGAGGGGGGCCACCTGATGGTAAACACCATTGCCACTTCTGCTGTTCAGTGCTTCAGCTTCAAGGCGGGGTGAAGCAGAGCGGGGTGGCACATGTCAACATCTCTCAACTTCAACTCCTGCTTTCTCAACGGCTGGAACGGCAACGGCTGTGGAACGCGCCAAGTGGCGGGGCTCGCAGAGCTCGCTGAGCGGCACGCGCACCTCCCGCGCGGAGCTCGGTAAGCGGCCTGGCGCTCGGCTGCTGGGTGGAAAGACGTGGAAACGCAGGGGAACTGGACGTGCGTGCGTTGCCCTGGGAGGTGTGCATGACCATTCTTGTTTGAATCTCGCACAGTTCCTTTTCGCAGCAGCGAATCAGCTCAAGGGCCCTGTTCAGCCGAAACAGCAGCGACGGTGCATCAACTGTACGCAATACACCCTGGCTACAACCGCTGAAATTCACACCCGTCTTATCTACAGGTGTGTTGCGGGCTTTACAGTTCAAATTTGTACAAAAGCAGCCAAGCAACTCTATTCCCCGTGGGGCCGTAAACCATGCCATTCCATGTCGAATTCTCAAAACAAGTCAGGTGAGACTTCTTCATCTTTCTTCTTGGCTCCCTTCTCGCATGCGCCACTGTTCTCGACATTGACAAGGCCACTCTCTAGTGTCTTAAGGAGGTAGTCTGGCTTCATGCTTTTGGTTAGCGGGTCTGCCAATTGCTTCGATGTTTCAATCCACCTCAGGTGGTCACCATAGGGACTGTAGATCTCTGATGTTCTCTCGCCATTCACAGTCCACACTCCTTGCCTCAATGCGGCAAGTTCTATGCCAAGCCTTTTGTCTTGTACTTTTCCTGGAACCTCTGCCAGTAAATGGTCCGATAAGCTCCTGCAATCGGTGTAGTACACATGTGCCATTCGTCTCTGAGTCTCCTCATGCCAATTCTTGAAGTCATCAAGTCGTCCGGTCAACTCACAAATCAGGCATCGTAGACGATCTCCATGTTCGACTGCAGTTTGCAGAGCATATGCTTCTGCTTGCAATGTAGCACGACACACCCTTTTGAGGGTAGTTGAACCAAAGCTGATCAGATGCATTTTGTGACTGCCTTCCTTGAGGCTGCTCGCATTCGTTATGTAGTGAATGCGGCCTTGCTGACTCTTAAAGCCTTCTTCGTTTGCGAAACTTGCGTCGCTAAACGTCACAACTGCCAAATCGCTCCAGTCAATCCAATCACTCTTGAAGGTGATCTGCAAGTCACTTCCTTGAAGTGCCAATTCAACGACCTTGTTGGCGTTCTTCAAGTCTTGCACTGTTGCCTTTGAGCTACAAGCACGTTGCATCTCATTCACACGGTAACAAAGATCTGGTCTTCCGTAACGAGCGACCCAAGCCAAACTACCAACAACGCTCCTGAGGCTTGTCAACTCTTTCTCTGTCACCTTTTCCGACAGCTTCCGATGCTTGTCGATTTCGATCGGCTTCACTGTTCTGCAGTTTTCACTTGTAGAAATGCTCACGGAGTAGTCCTCATGCTGCACGAACTGACGTCCGCAGTATCGGAACTTTCCCGATTCTGTTTTGCCAATCGTGAACCTTTTGAGGATACCTTCAATTGTCTTCTTGCCTTCATCAAGGTAGCAATACAACAAGTCGTCGACATGTGTCGCGACCATGCCTATCAACTTTCCCTTGGAATTGTGCAAATAGTACAGTGCAGGTGCGATGCGACTGCACTTCAACCCGGCACTGGTGATCTCACCATTCATCCTCAAGTAAAAACCTCTGCCTGCGTCGATCGCGCCGTAGATCGGAAGGCGTGCAACCAACATTGCATCCGGTGGGACATCCGGACTTGGAATTCCACCACGTGGCTGTTTGAGCAACAGCAACCTCGTCATTGGCTGACTTTGAAAATACGCTGAGGAAACATCTGCCGCATACAGTGTCACACGATGGCTTGATGCGAAGCTTGCAATCAACATGTGTCCTTCGGTCTCAGCAGTGGGGCTGTCGCAGCGAATACCTTGTGAATCACGGCTCACTTGTTCGTGATTTCCACAGGCTACTAGCCGAGATCTGTTTTCTGGCTGATGTTCAGGCGTACCTGTCAGATGAGCTTGCTTATCCACATCTACCCATTGCATAGGAATAGGAACATGCCCTTCTTGAAGTAACTCTTCCAATTCCCTGCCTCGAATAGGCATTGCAGCATTGAAGCTCCTATATTTGCTCCACTCTGCACGACGTGCATCCAAGATGCGAGCTTGCATCTCGGGAGTGCATCGGTCGTATTGCAGCGTCTTTGCCACCTTGCCAACCTGCGTCTCACTGTTTTCTCCAAAGCGTTGAGCTACGAAGGCTCGAAACTCTGCAGCATCGAGTTCAGTGTCGTCAGCGGCGGCCATGGCGATCAACGGGTGTTTTACCCGTGTAAAGATTGTGAAACCTGTCCATGCGCGAGAATCAACATGACCATGCCCGGCATGGACTCGCTGGTCATTCGACTTCCGTCTTCATAGACTTTTCTGGTTACGCGTCTTCCTCCGAATCCTTCCGGAACATCTCCGTCATACAGCGGGTGGAAGTCATGGAATCTCCTTTTGTTGTGGACACGAATTGCATGATTCTCAGAGATTCTCCAATGGTCTTCATTGTCAACCAATGCAAGCATGACCTCATCATCACCAACAATGCCTCCGGGGGTCATCGGAACTGCGACTGCGCTTCCGCTCGCGCTTGCAGATGATCGGGCAGCCTTGCCCGTCTTATCTTCTGCTTGTGCTTCTCTCTTTTGTCCCTTCTTAGGGCTTGCCTCTTCGTCCATCATTGGGATGTACTTCTGCTGTCCCAATGTCACTGCCTCCGGGAATACTGGAATGTTGTTCAAAATGGAGTAGGCCAAAGATTCACTCTCATTGGCTGATCTAAGTTTTCCGGCGGCACACAAAATAGGAATACCTTCATGTAGCAACCAGATGCCATTATGCGGGTCAATGCCAATCACACGCGAAGCAGTGGACCACACGGTTCCACCTTGCTGGGTGTCTCGACGGTAGACCACAAGGTCTCCAACCACAAATGACTTCTTGTTCTGGACTGCAGCATTCCTGGTCAATGCTCTTGCAACACGGGAGCTTGTATCCAAATGAATAAATGCCTTTTGCGCAGCCATACGGGATGCATGACGCAAATGATAGCTTGCTGCAGGGTCAAGCTTGTTCTCCAAGATGCCTAAGTTTCCTGCCTCATCCATGTCTGTCACAGATCCTGGAACTCTTGGGTTCCTACCCAGGACCCATTGTGCTGGAGAATAGCCTTGGACTCTTTGCATGTGGTTCTTCACGGAGGTGCATTCACGCAAACATGTTTCAAATGCATTGCGGCCTACAGCTTCCATGTCATGGATGGTCTTCCTGAGAATTGCCTTCAAGATACCTTGGTGCCTTTCAACCTTGCCAATGGCTGACGGTGTTTCCAATGGTGCATAGAAAATCTCGACACCATGCGAAGCGAACAGCTTGGACACCTCACCTCGGTTGTGGACACCTCTATCCATGATTGCAGCCTTTGGAAAACCTGCCCAACTGATCCATCTGCGAAGGATAGCTTGTGCACAGGCTTCTGACGTTGGCATACCTCCACCTTCTTTGACAACCTCTGACAAATGGAATCCTGTCGAAATGTCCAGCATCGCAAGGATGCTGTACTTGCTCCCTGCATAGTCCTTCATTTCTGTGACGTCAAGGCCAAGCATGGCATTGAACTCATACTGGAAATTACTATTTCCTACCGGATGGTCACGGGGACGTGGTGCAGTGTCTTCGCAGGACTGACAACGGACAAGACGTGCGGCTTCGATCAATTCTTTGCTTGCCTTACCTGCCTTTAAAATATTCTTCAAAGTTGACGGTGCGGGATGTCCGAACTGCCGATGCAAGCGACGAATTGCAATGCGAGTCCTCTGGGGGAGAGCACGCCACAGTCGTCTCCGTTTCTGTTCCGTCATGTCGGCTCCGGGCAATGCAAGTTGATCTAGCATGAGTTCTTCCTGTTCTCTTGCCGTCAACGGTTTTCCATTTTCCCGAAGAACTCCCTCAATGTCACTGTCCTCAATTTCAGAGATGTCTTCAAGTTCGTCTGCCGCAAAACATGTCCGTGCAAAATGCTCCAAGTAAGTTTCTTCTGACATGGTGCTCAACATCTCTAGGAGTCTTGCCGATTTCGCGTCCTCAAAACATTTTGGAATCGTGTTCTCTCCGCACCAACCTTCCAGCGCCTCCAAGAGCTTGGGGCTTTGTGGACCTGCCAAGGCAAACTCTAGGTCACCACCAAGACAAATGGAATGTTCAACAGATATCTCGAGAAGTGGTGTGAAAAGAAGAAGGTTGCAGCCATACATGTCAACTTCCATGAGCATATCATTCCAGATCCTCCTGGGGTCCGTGTTCTCCAAAAACAGTACAACCAAACCAGGGATCTTATTCGAAATGTGCTTGATGACCTCCTTGCGGGTCTTCACCCAATTTGCACCTACATCGAATACCCTTGCACTCTGGGGTGCATTGATCAACATGTCATCCTTGACAATGACCATGTGTTGCACACTCAACGGGTTGTTCGAAACTAGTGCATGCAAGACTGAGTCATTCTCTTGCAAGGTCTGCAGGCCGGCGACAAACACTTGTTTTTCTCCTTTGTTCATAGTTCGATGATCCAGAGCTACGAACGCATGACCTTCGCTGTCGGAGCTCAGTTCGATCTCTCCTTGGAAGCGGCTCATGATGAACTTGTCTCGGTCGAGCACCTCACGCGAGCTGGTCGGACGATCCGGAGTGCTTCGTGTACTCATGGTAACTACGTCATCGTCTGACAATTCCTCTTTGGGTGCGTTCGACGGATCGATAGCTGTGCAGCCATGGAACGGTTCAACAGGTTCAGCATCAAGTGCATCGTCCATGTTCTCCTCCTTGGGAGTCTCTTCTGCCGTCTCCACTGGTTTTGCCATCTCTCTAATCTCTCTCTTCGTGCGTTTTGAGGGTCCTCCGCTCGGCCCGTCTCCATTTTCTTCATCATCACCAGGCGGTCCCTGGCCACCATTGCCCTCATCATGGTCATCGCCTCCTGGAGGCTCTTCTTCTTCCTCCTCAACATCTTCGTGTTCTTCAGGTCTTGCAAATGGAGGTGAGAAGATCAAGATCCTGCCCTTGACATACCAGTCAAGCTCTTGTGGCTGGTTCTCCA